GCTAACTGAACTGTATGGTTTTAAGAAAAGTTTGTGGATAGAAAAGGAAATTGATTAATGCCATCATTTTGACAGTTTTGATTTTATATAAGTGCAAATAAATTAACCAATAAAATCCAGGAGAACGGTATATCACACTGTGCAATGGAATTTATGCAAATTAGCGAGGGGCCATTTGATTAGTTGACTTGGTGGTACATTGTTTATCTGGCATTACACAGCTGTCAAAACATAGCATTGATCAAGGTTGATCGTCAGCATTATTTTAAGATGGTTAATGTTTTTTTATGAGATTATTTTGTTTATAACTCTTGAAATAAAGATGCTATAGTAATGGAACTTGTCATGCATGATGTGAGTATTGACAAAGGAAAATTATCCTAAGTCTAGAGTAGACATCATTTATAATACAAAAAATAATACAAGTACATGTACTTAAAAAATATAACAATTTTCAAATAAATTCCAAGTTCAACAAGAGCTGTCGGAGGACAGCAATGCTCGACTTTTCGATATAGTTGTCACAAGGATGTTTCAATGAGTATAAAAAGGGGCATAAATATGTAAATAAGTAAATCAGAGTTATGGGACCTGTGCCAATCATGTTAAAAAATCACAGTGATTGAAAATGTATGTTAAGTTTCATTCCATTCCCTTCAATAGTTAGGGAGATACCAGCTAACAAGCAAAAAAAAAATAACCATGAGTTTCATCGAGTAAAAAATATTTTACTGCACCAAAACTTTAATCTGAAATCTGGAAGGGGACTCCGGGGCGAGTAGGACAGCTCTCTATATACTTCGTATAGTCGAGCTAAAAATTAAAATCATTGAAGGGCCATTTCTCTGACAAATATGATTGAACCCAAAAATGTTGACGAGATGCACAACTAGACTTGTAACTGATCTTTCTTGTAAAGTTTAGATGAAATTGCACCAGTAGTTTTTGAGTAGTCCGGACAGACAGACGGAAGTACTTACGTGACTTTCCTTTGATCTTTTAGTCACACAAGGCTTAAAAGAAGACACACAAGTAAAACAGAATAAAAAGAATCGAAGAAAATGTACCAATACCTATTGTTTTCCTAGTCACCCATTTGTTTTGCACGGACAGACAAACCACGGAGAAGTGATCCCTATATGTCACCACTACTCTGTAGAGGCAACACAAAAAGTTACAGACCCACCAACCTACCAAAAGTTAGCCTGTTAGACAACTACAACTGACAATGCCTATCAAATGTATACTTTATTCATAAGTAATATAATAAAATTGTATTTTGTAAGTAAACATAGACAGGGAATGGAACCCTAGTCTCCAAAATGTCCGACAGGATACTCACCTCTATATTCATTTGGCTCAAATTGCACAGGATTTCAACCAAACTTGTATTTTGATTTTATTATGATTCATTATCTTTATTATGATTTACTATAGCATCAAAGAACAAGGTTTACCTTATGACACGCATCTTTCTTCACACTGGAACAACTTATTGTTGTACAAATCTGCCAGCACATAGATGTACTAAGCTATTCCATACCATATCCTTCTTGCGAGTATATAGGCACTGGGACTCTCGAAGAACTGATAGTCTTATCCACTTCCGCTTCATCACTCCTCCATGGTCTGAAATATCACCAGGGTTTACAAAATAACATTCTAATCTTATAATGTTAATATTTATCATGTCTTTACAAATTACTTTTCAAGTAAGCAGGTATTATCAATGTTTCATTGGTTTTATATTATATGAAGGCCCATTCTTTATTATATGGCAGATAAAGGCCGTCAAATGAGTTTCAGGGTAGGGCAAGTTCATGCCTAGTAGAACCACTTACCTTCCAGTCTAGCTAGCTAAAAGACTATCTCCAATAGACAATTCCTATCAACTGTATACTTTATTCATAAGTAATATAATAAAATTGTATTGTGTAAGTAAACATAGACAGGGAATGGATCCCTAGTCTCCAAAATGGCCGACAGGATACTCACCTCTATATTCATTTGGCTCAAATTGCACAGGATTTCAACCAAACTTGTATTTTGATTTTATTATGATTCATTATCTTTATTATGATTTACTAAAGCATCAAAGAACAAGGTTTACCTTATGACACGCATCTTTCTTCACACTGGAACAACTTATTGTTGTACAAATCTGCCAGCACATAGATGTACTAAGCTATTCCATACCATATCCTTCTTGCGAGTATATAGGCACTGGGACTCTCGAAGAACTGATAGTCTTATCCACTTCCGCTTCATCATTCCTCCATTGTCTGAAATATCACCAGGGTTTACAAAATAACATTCTAATCTTATAATGTTAATATTTATCATGTCTTTTCAAATTACTTTTCAAGTAAGCAGGTAATTATCAATGTTTCATTGGTTTTATATTATATGAAGGCCCATTCTTTATTATATGGCAGATAAAGGACCGTCAAATGAGTTTCAGGGTAGGGCAAGTTCATGCCTAGTAGAACCACTTACCTTCCAGTCTAGCTAGCTAAAAGACTATCTCCAATAGACAATTCCTATCAACTGTTTGTTGAACTAGCTGAATTTTTTTATCTCTGAAATAGAAGATACTATGCATACAAAAAAATCCTTAAAGTATAATATTGTAAAATACCTAATTGCTCCATCATGCCAGTTTCCCACCAATAATACACATGCAGCTATCCACACCATCACGTCTCCGCCACAATGTAGAACTGGAACACCAACATCTTCTTTCCAGGGGGTTTCCGAAAACACAAAAAAACACAAAACATTAGAATAGGGAAAAAAAAACAGTTAAAGAACCTGGCAAGTAGATCTGTAAAACAAAGATATAGGTATTAGAGTAAACAAATACAGGCATTTCAAAATCTAATTTATTATTTACATAATTAAACATATCAAACATAATCATAGTACACAAATTCTAAATACACAAGTCATAGCATAAAAAGAGTAGGTTAAGGTCTAAAGGAGATAGGAAGCATAAAACAAAAATTAAAAAAAAAACATATGATTATTTTATTGGTGAAAAAGATACAAATACATATCAAATACAATACTCGAGTATGAGTATATCAAAAAACCGCGGGCACATCACGTAGCCTGGCCAAATCACATTTTATAACAACAACCATTAACAATAACTTCTACTCAACACATTACTAACTACAGGGGGGGGGGGGTACAGGGGTAACGTACATAAAGATTTTTTTTTATATTTTATAAATCGCGAGTATATCAAAAAAAACGCGGGCGCATTACGTAGCCTGGCCAGATTCACATTTTATAACAAGCATTAACAATGACTTCAACTCAACACATAACTAAGTACTTGAATAACATATATAAAGATTTTTTATAAATCGTGAGTATATCAAAAAAACCGCGGGCGCATCACGTAGCCTGGCCAGAATCACATTTTACAACACTAAAGGGATAACATACATAAAGATTTTTTTATAAATCGTGAGTATATAAAAAAGACAATCGCGGGCGCATCACGTAGCCTGGCCAGAATCACATTTTATAACAACAACCATCAACAATAACTTCAACTCTACACATTACTAACTACAGGGATAACATACATAAAGATTTTTTTATAAATCACGAGTATATAAAAAAGACAATCGCGGGCGCATCACGTAGCCTGGCCAGAATCACATTTTATAACAACAACCATCAACAATAACTTCAACTCTACACATTACTAACTACAGGGATAACATACATAAAGATTTTTTTATAAATCACGAGTATATAAAAAACCGCGGGCACATCACGTAGTCTGGCCAGAATCACATTTTATAACAACCACCATCAACAATAACTTCAACTCAACACATAACCAACTACAGGGGGTACAGGGATAACTTACATAAAGATTTTTTTATAAATCGCGAGTATATCAACAAAACCGCGGGCGCATCACGTAGTCTGACCAAATCACATTTTATAACAACAACCATCAACAATAACTTCAACTCAACACATCACTTACTACAGGGGGTACAGGGATAACTTAATTACATAAAGATTTTTTTATAAATCGCGAGTATATCAACAAAACCGCGGGCGCATCACGTAGTCTGGCCAAATCACATTTTATAACAACAACCATCAACAATAACTTTAACTCAATACATCACTTACTACAGGGGGTACAGGGATAACTTACATAAAGATTTTTTTATAAATCGCGAGTATATCAACAAAACCGCGGGCGCATCACGTAGTCTGACCAAATCACATTTTATAACAACAACCATCAACAATAACTTCAACTCAACACATAACTAACTGCAGGGGGTACAAGGATAACTTACATAAAGACTTTTTTTATAAATCGCGAGTATATCAACAAAACCGCGGGCGCATCACGTAGTCTGGCCAAATCACATTTTATAACAACAACCATCAACAATAACTTCAACTCAACACATCACTTACTACAGGGGGTACAGGGATAACTTACATAAAGATTTTTTTTATAAATCGCGAGTATATCAACAAAACCGCGGGCGCATCACGTAGTCTGGCCAAATCACATTTTATAACAACAACCATCAACAATAACTTCAACTCAACACATCACTTACTACAGGGGGTACAGGGATAACTTACATAAAGATTTTTTTTATAAATCGCGAGTATATCAACAAAACCGCGGGCGCATCACGTAGTCTGGCCAAATCACATTTTATTACAACAACCATCAACAATAACTTCAACTCAACACATCACTTACTACAGGGGGTACAGGGATAACTTACATAAAGATTTTTTTATAAATCGCGAGTATATCAACAAAACCGCGGGCGCATCACGTAGTCTGGCCAAATCACATTTTATTACAACAACCATCAACAATAACTTCAACTCTACACATTACTTACTATAGGGGGTACAGGGATAACTTACATAAAGATATTTTATAAATCGCGAGTATATCAACAAAACCGCGGGCGCATCACGTAGTCTGGCCAAATCACATTTTATAAGAACCATCAACAATAACTTCAACTCAACTCATAACTAACTACAGGGATAACATACATATTTAAAGATATTTTATAAAGCGCGAGTACATAAAAAATAGCATACATCAAGAACAATATAAACGATCAAATACAAAAGTTGTAAAATATCATCACACTTACTCTATTCACAAAGAACGTCTTCTCGGCGCGAGTTTCCCACCAAAAATGACCTGTTAGCTCAAATGATCACGTGGTCTGTAATCTGTGAAGCGGGAAAATTCGGCATATTCCGCCGTGCTTCTCAACTCTGACCTTTTCATTATTGAAATATTGTTGGGCAATATTGGCCCGAGACATTTGAATATTCAATGACCTTTTATCGGCAATCATCGGAATCCGGCATAACGGTATCTATTCAAATATGATCGAGAATGGGAAATCTTAATTTATAAGTGCACAGGGGTGGCAGGATAAAGCCATATACGAAAACGCACCAACAGGAAAAAACATTTGAAAGATAATATATGGCCTGTTAGAGTAGTACGTGGTTAAGGTCCTTGTTTCGCATGCGGAAGGTCGTAAGCTCAAATCCCACAACGGGTGAAACTTTTATTAGGTCTTTGAATTATATTATTCTATTTTTGTTTTACTTTTTAATTTATTTATTTTTTATATTTTTTTCATTTAATAATTATCATTATTTTATATATTTTCCATGTATTTCATTTACGAGAATGATATAGCTTATAATGTATGGTGGCTGATTTGGAGCACTTTGCGCGTTACGTTGTCGATAGCGACAACACAACCTAAATCGTTATCGCCTTTTCGTCGCACTGACGTCTTGTCGCTTGGCTTATAAGCCAGTCTTTTGATTTAAGGTAGCTCGCTACTTTCCGACCGAAATATGACAACATCTCAGATCTTGGTGATTTTTGGTATGCAAACGTATAAATATGTGAGCTTTACTTCTGCAGTATTATTTTATAAATAAACAGCGTTACTATGACGTCAAAGCGCCCTCTATCGGTGGCGGCGAAATTGCGTCTTTTTTTATCAATAAACCGGTCTGTTCTTATCAATTTTCATCCGATTTCATTCATTTTAATTTTATAATGTTCAGTAAATGTATGTCTTTGTAATGATGTCTTTCTTTAACATTTACTTAATAGTCTGCGATTTTACGTCATTTTTCTCTACGTTCTGACGTCCATATTTGATTCAAATATCGCGCGATATCGCAATAAAGATTGTGTAATAAAAAAAATTCAACACGGTGAATTTTGCTATAATTTTCCGAGCGTGTAGTGAGATAGTGAAGGAAAGTATTTATGCAAAAAAAAATATAGGGTTAACGCGTAAGATATTTTGCTATTACTGTTTTAAAATAAAATAAAGGGTGAGTGAAACGTAATGATTTTGGTGACGTTAATAGATGTTGGAGTTCAAAGAATAATACCAAATAACAATTTTCTTACGTCAAACATTACGATAGTAAGTATAAACAACACAGGGACTTGATGAAATGTATATTTTTTAAATTGTTGATTATTTTCTCATTGAAAGCATGCGCTAGATGAGCACATTTACAATGTTTAATCCGACAATCCCTTTTTAAATACTTTCCTAATTTGCAGGACACAGTCTCATACATCTTTTAATTCTAATTTTATAATGTGATGTTGTTAAAGTGTTATATTATTATATGAATTAACTAGTTTCAGCGCAAAAAATAAGAGTTGCATATTGCTGTATGAATGAAGTAAGAATATTAGTTTGCTTAGCTTATACCCGTAGAATATTTATTTTACGTTACATTCAGCTTTTAAACACTTTCATAAAATCACATAAAGCCAGACGAGCCTCGGTGTCAAAACACATCGTAAAAATACAATTAAAATAGATATGCATACAAATGTGCCGAAATAAGTGATAAATGAAATTCAGAAATAATATTCAAATATGTTAAAGGGACTCCACTGAGGTTTTTGACATGATGGAACTGAAAATATTTTTTCCAGATAAATGTACCATTTGATGTAGGTTTAGACCATTAATCTTTGTGCAAAATTTCAGAGCATTCGCGCACTTCGATCTTCCAGAATAATTATTCAAAATGAAAACGCTTTTCACCCAAATCGGGCTAACAAAAGCATAAAAATACGATTTTCAATTTATTTCAAAGTATATTTCTTAACTATCTAGTATATATTTCTGTTTAAAGTGCCCCAGGTCATTTATGTAAGAAATTCAAATGTTATGTGTTTGGCTTTTCAACCTCAGTGGAGTCCCTTTAAGAATATTTAAAACCAAACTGTACAAGAAACAAAAACCTTTATTTTATTTTTATTTTTGCTTACCATTTTTAAGTCTGTGCAATACATTGATTATATAATCATAATCTAATTAAAATGTCATGATAATTAGAAAATGAGCACTTATGTGACAAACTATAAACTATTTTGGAAGCAAAATCATACTGAATAAAAAAAATATAAGCATATTCGCAACTGCAGACTCGAATGTGAAACACCCAATATAACCATTACTCAACTCGGATTTATTACCGCTTTTTCATTACAGTATAACATAGCGGGCTCAAAGTATTATTTATTTCCTAAATGTTCCACTACATTTTACCTCTGTAGAGCAACTACTCTAGGCAACAAAGGGCATTTCTCTGTAAAGGTTATACTGTATATTTTAATTAAATACAAAATATAATTATTAAATAACTTGTGCAACTTTTGTTACCACTGAATACGAATAATGTATTATGTTTACTTTATTTCTCAACGGGAATGATTTGGAGTGCGGTTAACTGATGCCTGCACTCCAGTTAACTTTCTGTGCATGTTTATGTATACGATTTAACTGTGACACTTTTTCAAACTGGCAGATGGCGCAAGTCTTTTGGAGAACATGGTCAAAGGAAATGCACTTTATGTAATCAAAATGATATTGCCGATGAATTCCACTATATGTTAAAATGCCCTTTCTTCTGTTTTAGTAGGAGAAGCCTAATTCCAAGTAAATATTTCAATCGACCGAACACACTTAAATTCAAAGAACTCATGCAGTCAGTGTGGCGCCGTTAAATGTCGCAACGCCGCTAAATGTCGCACCATTGCCGCTAAATGTCGCAACCGCCGCTAAATATCGCAAAATCATTTGCCGTTAAATGTCGCAATGTTAACGTTAAATGTCGCACGAATTTCCCTTACAGTTAAATGTCGCAACACTACCGTTAAATGTCGCAAGATGTAAATTCATGTTAAAATCATGATTAAAGTAAGTATTATATTACTTTTTAACATTCTCATAGTTATTTTTATTGTAATTGCCATCTTTGTTTTACTTGTTTTCTTTTATGAACCTAAATATCGTGGTTTTGAGCTGCTCTATAATGTAATCTTTAGGCTAGAAAGGATAATTGATACTAAATTCTAAATAGATAAGTATTTTTCTTTTGTTTCCCATTTTCATTTGTAACCCTGATAGACAAGAGATTAAAGGTATTATGGTATTGTCGCTCTCAGAATTTGGTTTAAGTAATTTCATTTAGTTTCTCAGACACTACCGAATTTACTTTAAATGTGGTTTATTTGTTTACTATGATCATATGATGCAATATCAAAGGGCAGATAATCCTAGATATAGTTTGCAAAGTTATTCCCCTTATTTCTCTAAGATGTTTTCGCTCTGATTAACCTTTTGGTTACGGCTCATTTCAAACATATTCACTTTAAACTTAAATACTTATTTCTTATAAAAGTACTAATGCAAAGTAAGGGAAATTCGTGCGACATTTAACGTTAATATTGCGACATTTAACGGCAAGTGATTTTGTGACATTTAGCGGTGGTTGCGACATTTAGCGGCAATGGTGCGACATGTAGCGGCAAGTGCGACATTTAGCGGCGTTGCGACATTTAACGGCGCCACAATTCAAAAATAGCTCAGTCATTAACCGCACATAACATATATGAATTATTACTTGAATCTCGAATCTTATAACCTTTCCTTAAATCTTAGTACATGTTTCTCAAATTTGATTTTTAAAAAATATTTCGGCTCATCTGCATGGAGGCATGTAGCTAAAAAGTTGTATAGCAAGGCTCTACAATACAGATTCATACAAAATTTTGAGTCACGGTAAATGTTTGACAGAATTGCGTTTCTTACTTATTTAGATCTTATAGAGTTGTAAATCATTGTGTTAGATAACTGTCTTCGTAGAATTCGCTAAATAACCAGTTTTGCATTTCACGGTATAGGAGAATTTATTTGTTCAACAATTATATTGCTGAGCCCGATAATGGAGGCCGCGGAAATGTGATATGTCAAACTCATCGTTTTCATTCCTCATTCAACATCCAAATGGCAAAAAGAACATTCAAGAAGTTCGAGGATGAATGTGCCGAGTAAGTTGTCGCTTTCAAGATGGTCTGGTGGTTAAGATACCAGCCTCGCAACCCAGAAATCGTGGGTTTGAGCTCTACTTGGGTAACGACCATTTTTCCTCATACTTGTGAAACATGCAATACAGGTTATAGTTCCAGACCCCGGCTGTGGTTCAAATGATCTTCTTCGAGATACCATCAAAATCGACATAAAAAAATGGTTTCCATGATCACACCGTATTACTGGTGCCAGTGATGCCAGACAGCTACAGTGATGACAGAAATTCTAAAATTTACTGAATATTACAGGTTATAAATTTGGCTGATATATTTATAAAAGGCAAATAAAGACAATTTTAATATCATAGACTTCCTGCCCATTGACTGGAAACACTGGCCAGTAAATTTGTTTCCACATTTTCATAAGATATTTCGAAGGGGTGAAGAGTGACAGTTTCGGAAAATCCGTGAAAAGATTTTTTTGTTCAATTTATTTCATGTTTGTAAAAGACGAAGAGATTTCATTTTAGGCAAATAAACATTGATGACTTAGGGTAACGCATGCGAAATATCAACCAAATTATCAACATTTTCTTTTGAATGTTACAGACATTCGAACATGGTCGGTCGAAGAGAAAAATGCTGCCGTTGTACGCAGATTTGCGTAATACAATAATACAAACCAAATTTAAAACGGTTTAACATACATGTAGTTATCATTAAATTTTAGATTTTGTCATCACTGCAACAATCTGTCATCACAGTCTGTACTGGTGATTAACGTAGCCTATGAGTCTGAATGTTTTAAATGACTGAAGACAAATGAATTCTTATACTCGTACAATATGTTTTGAGCGGTCCTCTCCAGAAATCCTCTGAAAATAATACTCACGAGAAACAACAAAGATGTTGTCAAAATGGGCCGAAAAACAAAGGGACGGAGTTAAAAATAGAAGGGTAATTAATAAAGAGAGGAATTAAAGATGGAAGTGCAGAAAAACTAACTGTAGATGGCGGCACAGACGACGAAACAAACCAAGCAAAACGTTTAAAAACGTCACTCGGTTAAAAACGTCTATCCATCCACAAAACCTGAAACTGTAAACAAGACATTCATAATCGGACCTCTTCAGGTCTTATTTTTCTGCAGCAAAAACCACTGCCGAGGAGGTTAGACCTGTTAATGGTGCCTCAAATCTCTCTCTAAATCTTATTGTGTTGGTTCGCCGAACATCTAAACAAAACAAACAAAACTAAACCTCTAAATTTCGCCATGTCCTTGAAAATCTAGGGAGACACTGTAAATGCTAAATTCTAACAATGGTCATGGTAACAAAACGCCTAATAGCTGAACACCGAAACCTTTAGTCAAACAGTATTTTGTTAAAGATTGATTGACAGTTGTCCAGTGCAAATGACATATTTAATTGCGTAATAAACAACGAAATTAAGTTATCCGACTATTCCAGGTCCTCCTGGATTGGTGATGGCCTTGGTTGTTTTCATAAACACGGGTGGTTCCCTCGGCTCGAAACCAGGAATTTCAACACTGATGACGGACTGTAAGTGTGTATGGAAACGAACATGTGTGAGGTCTACCATTCTGTACATCAGACCAAAAGCCTCGCCGGAAAACCTGTCATGAGATGTCTCAGGGTATAAAATCCAGTGGCCTATCCCATAATCCATCTGTAAAAAAAAACAAATATGAGCCGTGTCACGACAAAACTAACACAGTGCGTTTGCGACCAGCATGGATCCAGACCAGCCTGCGCATCCGCGCAGTCTGATCAGGATCCATGCTGTTCGCTTACCAACTCTATTACAAGTAGAGAAACTGATAGCGAACAGCATGGATCCTGATCAGACTGCGCGGATGCGCAGGCTGGTCTGGATCCATGCTGGTCGCAAACCCATTATGTTGGTTTTGTCATGACACGGCTCAATTGTTAATCACCTGTAATTGATTTACAGTTGTATTCATTCGGATCACTAAGTCCCCATATGCTATCTGATGATACACGCCCACGTATTCTGTGAGGGGTCTGGAAGCCTTATGTGTTGTATCTATTGGCCTCCTGATAGAATGTGTACTGTTGTACCAAGGTTCCGGGTATGTGCATACTGTTGTGTCATTTATCGTCGGTTTCTCGCCAAGAAAAGTGTCCAGCAAGTGACTACAAGAAAAATGTTATGTAATATTTATTACACTTGAATTCGTAACAACAATTATAATTACAACACTATTAGACAATTATATTTCAATATACACATGTACCTCTAATATTATTGTTCTTATGAATACTAAATATGAAAATTGACTTCTATCTATAAGTGCTTTGGTTGCAAAAATGAGTTGTGGGAGAGGGTTGGGTAGGGGATAGTATCAGATCACATCCTCTTACCCATGTGTGCAAATGTGCTGTTTGCAAATCCAAACTTGATAACATTAGTCTCAATAGTTCGACTGCAAAACCGGCCGATTTTATAATCTGATACTACATAGATGTCTGTCTTTGTGAAGGGCAACCATCGTCTACATAATAAAATGCCCTAAAGCGCACAGTTTGTTGGGCTAGTGCAACATGAAACTTACAAGTGTAATTCAAATAACTTTATTTTTGTTTCTAAGGCCTCCGGCCTAAAACACATAGTATACATACATACGTCGATTTTTTAACATTAATTTTATATAACATGTATTACAAATACCTGTGTAAAAGTGTACGAGTAATATATCCCTCATCTTCTCCGGTCATACTGGTGAACACGCCAATGTTTACATCCGGTAGCAGTGTGACTAAAGAGGAGTACCCGAATGTTGTTCCGGTATGACGTAACATCTTATATCCTAGAAAAGATAACAAAAAATAATATAATGTAAGTGAGAGCAAATGCATCTTATGATTTGAGCAATGAATGTTTGATTCTACATCATAATTATAAGTATACTCCAAAAGTCAATCATCAATAATAAACTTCCAATGGCCGAATAAGCTCAAAGTAAATATTTCAAATATTTATTGATCTCTACTAGGTTTCATTGAATATGTTCATAAGAGACAACAAAAAGTCCCACTCTCTAACACCTGTTGATATACAGTAGCCAACCATCAAAGAATACATGACATAAAACATATAACAACTAAGAAATGAAAAAGAAACAATTAACGAAATCCATACAACTCTTTTGCAAATATTGTGAGTGTAAAATCGGGACACAAGGGAATCGATCCTTAGAGAACTATGACCAAAAAAACACACAATAAACAACAACAACATGATTTAAAATTACAAATCCGGTCATTGAATATGCTTTTTAAAGGGCATGAAAATGTGCAACATTGTTCTTTTATTCAGACAAGATTTGGAATGCTGATTAAAAAATAAAACAAGTTACTGTTTAGTATGTGATATAATTCTTTTTATGATATTATCATGAAAAAATATCATGAGCTATGGCAGTTATTTTTCTTTTCGTCTTATTATTTAGACGAAAACGAATTCAAAAAGAGATTTACAAGAATTTTGATACATTGTATTACTGTTTAGACTTAACATTCATTTCAATACATGTATAAACACTTTAAAATAAATATAGTTTTGGACACCAAACCTTTATAAAATCCCGTTTTCCAACCAAAGGCATATGCAGTTTCTGTGACAGTAAACGGAGCCTTTGGTTTATGAAAATTCTTCTCCACGGTGGACGATCTGATAGCCGTCTGAGGTTGATGCATCAATGCAACGTCTTTGGCTGCGACAACCACGTCGCCATTCTCATTTTTACCCTCATTCAGATGCATCAGCATCCATTTAGTAATGTCTGAGGACGTACTCATGATACCAGTTGATCCCGCTAGGTTACCCCATTGTCTACAAAACACATGTTGATAGTATCATATTTTGGAGAAAATTACAAATCACAACTCTGGAGTAAAATGAAAACCAACTCTCACATCCTAATAAGTTCTGAAAAGATCATCATATTTGATACGAATATGGGATTTATTTCAAATGTCCAGAATAATAAATAAAAACACTCAAAATAAATAATGGCAATCTTTCTAATATGGCACAGGCAGCACGCACGGTTATGAATATATTTAATTTCATAGAAAGTGTAGAGCCCTTGACAGCAATGAAAACAAATACAAGAAATATCAGTTTTGTTTGATCAAGTCTATGAAATGAGAGACAATAAAATGTGCAAACCAACGCAAATATTTAGTAAGATGTAAATATAACACACTCGCAGGTGGAATGAATATTTGTTATTTTTACTTACTTATGTATTTGTGAAGCCTGCATGTGTAACAGAGAAATCAACAATTAAATGTCAAATTAAAAAAGCGGACAACATATCCCAATAGTGATTATATTATACAATTTGAAAGTAAGAATACTTGAACTTAATGAGACAAATTTGACATTGAAAGAAATAAACATAAGAGCACGAATGCTGTGCTGAGCAATCTCCAAATAATGGAAATACAGCATTTCTGATTGAAAGTAGGTGGGGAGTGCTTTTACGGCCGCCACACGTTACAAACAACGCTGATGCGAAAATGACGTGGTAAAAATATTAACCTCGAAGGTCGCCAAACACAGCAAGATTTCAAATTCAAACCTTCGTTTTATTTGAGCATGGTCATGGCTTTATACTTTAGCACATGACATGTTTTAGCAGTACTCAACATTTACACCTGAAAAGGTTGACTAATTATGCTTTTGTAGCAGGAATGCCTATCATTACATTTTACTGATATAATCTTATTTTCAGAATATTATATAAACAATGAATATTTTTTCCTTAGCCTTATTTATACATTTAGTATCTTTTCAAAATCATTCAGCTGGCACTATTTTTTCTATATATAGTAACAGTAAGCATAACTTAATGCATTATTTCATGATATTCATATCTTATGTAAGGTTTTTATCCAATAGAGGGTTGTTCATTGAATTTAACTTAATACACTTCAATACATTTTAAAGCAGAATATTGATTCTCGATATTGTTTACTTAATATTTTGTAACATTCCTCTTTTTGTTACTTATTTTCAAGTCATGCCTCTTTCATGAATTGTGTGATTGCAGAGAGAAGTGGCTATATAAGCCAGTATTTTCGGTCATTTCATTGCCTTGTCTACAGATACCAAAGGTAGCGTATGCCTATTATCGCCTGACTTGGTCATTTCTCTCTATTTTCCCTATGATGTTTTTTGTAACTTATATTTCATTTCGTGACATTTTAAGAAATCAATTTAATACTTTGGCATAGAAACATATTATCTTAAATCTATTTTGCAATAAAACTGTTGAACTCTGAAATGCCTATGTTCTTCATATTTGAATTTTCAATTTAATCTTCAATGAACCTGGGTAAATAACTAGGACGTTAATTGTGATCACTTTTGTGTCCGTTTGTCCGCCCTGTTACACTTTAAATAAACGTGCCATGTCGTGCAATTGAATTGGTTTACTTGTTAAGTTCTTCAGGGACAGGAATCAGTCCACCATGAGTTTCGTCATCCGCGTAACCCTGTGCAACGTCTTTCTTTGTCCTATCTACCGTTCGCAGAAAATCCGAATCGTTCATTCCTAAAGAACATTCAAATTTTGTTGTTTTTTTTTTTATTTAGTTCACAACTGATAAATATCAATTATGAGTTCCAAGTGATTTTCTAATATATCTAATTTGAGATTGTGAAGTAATCAATGAATTGAAAGTATTCTCTTTTTTAGACAATTCATCAAATTTAGATAATAGTTTATAGGAACAACTTTGATGTGAATATGTCTGTAACTATTTACTGATTATCTCCCCTGATGACGTAGAGTAACTAATTTTATATATGAGCCGCGTCACGACAAAACCAACATAATGGGTTTGCGACCAGCATGGGTCCAGACCAGCCTGCGCAGTCTGATCAGGATCCATGCTGTTCGCTTACCAACTCTTTTACAAGTAGAGAAACTGATAGCGAACAGCATGGATCCTGATCAGACTTCGCGGATGCGCAGGCTGGTCTGAATTCATGCTGGTCGCAAACCCATTATGTTGGTTTTGTCGTGACGCGACTCATATTAAACCTACCTAATGTTTTTGTGTCCTGGGCGTACTTTTAGTCAACACCCACTTGTAAAATATTCCCTTAAAAGCATGCTTGTATATCTAAACAAGCCATTCAGACTAAAATTAAGCAAGAACTACATTTACCTAAAGGTGTGAAGATATACTGCTGTATCAATTCCTCCCAAGTTTTCCCGCCAAGAACCTCACTTAGATATGATACAATTCCATAATGAAGATTACTATATAGATAGTGTAGACGAAACTTGTAAACAGGAGCAAAATAGCGGATACGTCTGCAAATAGTTATATAAGTGAAAAAAAAAAACATATAAGCGCAAAATATTAACATAAAATGACAAGTCATTTAATAAATCGTAAGCGAATAGCATATTTATTAATAAAGGTCCATTATGCATCAGAAAATAATGCTATAAATTTTATTGCTCAAAAACTTTTATTTTTTGTATCTTCTTATAGTTCCCAAAAATATACTCATTTTCCATATACTCGTACATGAACTATCTTTCGCTACTTTTACTGTGTCAGCAATTGGTGTAATTATAGTGAATTAGTATTTTGTATGGAAGTCAAAATATTTCTTTGTTTACATTTTTCTACCTTTAAGATACATTATTGCATGCTAAGTGCTATTTTCTTCAGTATTTAAACATGTAAGTTAATTATTGAAACTTTTTAAAACACATGTTTGATATATCTAAAGTATAAAAAAATATGGAATTCTAAGGCATAATGTATGCATAAAAATTATGCAATGAAAGCATAGACAAGAAAAGATTCTAATGAAGATAATTACTTAACCTACATACATAGCATTTTTTTCCAAAGATTCAGCTCTGATATCTCTAACTACTCGTGTAACATTATGATTATGGGAATGTGATGACATGAAAATGGTTATTCTTTATGACAAAATATTTGTCGGTAACAAAATATTTGTCAGTATTAAAGTTATCTAGATTGCATTTAAGAACACCTTTCTTATAAACACGAACATAGTATTACAATAAAACATAGAATTATCTTAATATCTTGCAAATGATAATAAGTGAAAAGGGTCAGGTACTGCATTCTTTGCACCAGAATTTGTCAAAGTCAACGTTTAAGAAAGGTAGTATTAATTGATTATACAAGAAACATGTTTGATTGTTTATAAAAAAGCGAATGATTGATCGACAACCACTGAAGAAAGAAAACAACCAAATCAAGAGTTTAATGGAGCCGTCCAGGTTTTGATGGTCCCAACTATAGGATAGCATAATGCTGAATTTTTCATTGAGCATTCATATGGTTACCAGCTGGTTCGATCGTTAAATCGGATTTATTGTAATATGATTGAAAAGTAAAATATTCAAAAATGAACGTTGTAATAAATTTAAAAGTAAGTGTGAAAAAAATAATTTGTAATTGCCCGACATGCTCCTCACCTTGCGGCTTCTTTCTTTGTCAGCGTTGGATCCAGTCTCATCATTTGGTTGCTCGGGACCCCAAGACAATGTGTCATTAAGTCACGAATGGTGGCATAGTATGTGAACTCAGACGTGTTGTATGCGAATCCCTCGGTCATCACATCACCAGGTTTTGTGTATATAGACATTCTTTATTAATATAATAATGATCAATGACACTCGCATTCTATTTGCATATGTTTTCAACACTATTACACAATGACAATCTTTTGTTGTGAAAGATGCAAATTTAATTGAGGCAATGACTTTTCCCTTCTGTGGTGAACATTAAAGAGCAGAGGGTCTCTCACATTCCATTTTACAACATTGTCACATTAAGGAAAATCGGCCGTATGAAAACATTCTAGAAACTGTATTCTTGGGAGATGAAGCATTGTGTTCAACCTCGAGTCGAGTGGAAACCTGAGTAAACATTGACATTGTAATTTGTCTGATATTTAACAGTTTTCCCTATGGTTCCTAGTTGTGATATTTACATGTATAACTATCTCGTTGAACAAAATAAATAAAGGAGAACACAGGTTAATATGTAAATGGATACCAATGCACTTTTACAGCAATTTGGCAGGTTTTACGTTTGTAAAAGTTTTATCTGTGGATCTTATTTTTGCTTCGGAAGACATTGATTTAACATCCAACCAGTAACAAGTATTTGTTAGTTGTCGATTATTTATAATCTACTAATGTTTTAAAGAGAACAAATTGTTTTCAACCTTAAGTGAAAGTATTTCATATATTCTATTTACTATTACTTTTTGTAAAGTTCTTACTTCTTGTCATGTAACAGTTTTATCATCAAGGTCGCTGCAAAAGCTTTGGACATGGATGCTATTCCGAACAGAGTTGTGTTCGTAACTTTGCGTCCAGTACTGCGGTCTGCAAATCCATAACCCTTAGCAAACTGGACCTTTCCATCCTTAACAACCGACGCCGTTAGACCGGGATTCTTATTTTGACGACATGCGAGAGCCTAAAATTTCATTATGTACCTCAGCTCAAATAATATTGTTCGTTTACCCTCGCTGTTGACAGGAAATTGACTTCATATGCGAGTAGAGAAATTGTGTTAAAATATCATGATCGTATAATTATTGTTATTCATTCTTGCCACTGGAATGATCATACGGGCGAGTAGAAAAAAGGTGTCAAATTATGTAGTTCAATTTATATCACATGTAAACGGGCTTGAAAATATGTTTTGAAAAAGACAAACAATGATTTAAATCATCAAACATTTCCATAGTACTCTTCTTTGCACAATAACACAAATATGTGAGACATTATTTTACATTATAAAATATATATGTAACTATAATAAGCTTCAAGAGTTTGTACCCATGTGGTGTTCCAATAGATATTATAATAGGTTCCAATCTTATCCATTTAGCCTCGTTTCTATTTCCACAGTTCAAAATCCATATCAACTGCATATCGTATATATGCTCATTTTCATTCTCAGATTTCAAAGTATCTATATCAAATGCATCTTGTACTAGCATTGTTTATCGTTTTCACTTTCAGGGTCAAGGAATTCTTATCAATTCCTTTTGTAAGTATTTGAACTATATTTCAGTCAAAAAGTCAGAAAATGGTGGTGTGAAATAAAGAGGCATTGTTTCGGATTCTGATTCTACTGGACTAGTGCTGCAAAACATGTATCCGACTCGGCTAGCACCTCGTGTAATAGTTTTCATAGCTTTGTACTCGTACAATAGAATTCAGTACATTCATAATATCAGTCGGGAAAACTTACAGATTTATAAGCAAATCCGCAATAGATAATTACATAAATATGACTTACTGCATTGAGAAAGCTGTCTACCTCACTTTGATCAAATGCTAGCGTTGTAAAATATAAACCATATCCAATTAGTATATTGAACAAAAGTATACCTCTCATGATGGTAAAACACAGAGAGTGAGTGGTCCGCCTTATCTTTATTGTCAGCTCACGGTCAGTTTTGTCCATGTATAAAGATAAGCATATAAAGGTGGGTTACATTGAAAGAAGTTCAATATCTAGCTATATAGGAAGCACTCTGATTTAAGTTCAGATCTACTACTACTATAGTTATTTCTTCCATGTAGATCTGATTGCCACCGTATTTGTTTCGCCTTCATTGTCATTCGGATTGTCCGGGAAAGTCGCAATATGGCATTTACAGAGTGAATATAAAAACATAATATTTTTTTTTAAGTTTGACTGTCGAAAATTTTGAGATTTAAATCTGTAGAAGCAGTCTTTATGACAGAATCAATTAAAAAGAAGGTCTCTTAAAAAGCGTTATTTTATATTATAATTTTAAAATATAATCTTGTTTAACATGTTCACCTTAAACAGAGTTTGTCATTAGAGCTGATTTTACATCTTTATAATTATACGGATAATCTTTTCTGAGAAAAGAAGATTACAATTTGAGAAAAATTGCATTACACTTGCGTTCAGAAGCTGTAACTAATGTCTGAGAATAGTGAATAAAATGTCTAAAATAACATTGCAATAAGTCTTACTTACTCAAAACAAAGCACGAAAAGCATTTTACACATTTTTATTTAAGTTACAATTTAACAAATACAATGAATGTCAAAGTCAAAAGTATCACAGGGCAGTGGGCACTTCACTAGTAAAGCACTTAATAAATCCAATAAATACGCTTTTAAATGAAACACAATTACCTTTTTGAACAAAAATTACGGGCAGAATTAATAATTCTACTAAGTAAGGCTTTTTGGAGATTACCATCAATGCGCCAACACTTTGGCCAAAATACAGCTGATATTTGAGCCGCGTCACGACAAAACCAACATAGTGGGTTTGCGACCAGCATGGATCCAGACCAGCCTGCGCAGTCTGATCTGTCTCTATCTATTTGGGTTTGCAGCGAACAGATGGTCCTGATCAGCTGCGCGATCCAGCGGTTGGATCATGTGGTCGCAAACCATATGTTGTTTTGTGTAAGCGGCTCTATTCAAGTGTAGCGATCTATCTTCTTTTCATTCGAAATGTCTATTAAATAACAATATTGTATTAAATAACAGTTTTGCTTATTAAGTGACTTATAAAGTTATTGTTTTGATATACTTATATGTCACATGTACACACTAAATGTTTTTCTTGCATTTCTAACCTCCAAAGAAGATAATGTTGATGTTCAGTTATCAGTTGATGTTCAGTTATCAGTCATTTCATCTTGCTATGGGGTATGACTGATAATAGAAATAGGTGTACTATTTCTGTGGAGATTTCGTTGAGATATTACTCTGTTTCTTCAGTCATATTGGATGTATATAGTCTTTTTTCCAAATTTCATTGAGAATATATAATCATTTAGAGTACAACATTTCTTTTGATGGCGGTCGTGGCTTCATAAGTTTGGTAAGTCGCGCTCTTTGATCAGCTGACATGCTTGGTAACTTGATAGACGATGATGAAGACGTTGATATTCGGGAACTAGGTCGCCTCTGTAACAAAACATATTAATTTATATGAGTAATAGGTAATTTAAGAAGTAAAATTGGAAAATAAAAATGTTATCACCGAGACAAGAATGGAAAGGTAACCGTTTTAGAAAAGGTGAGATGATGCATATTAAAGCGCACTGTTAATTTAAAAGCCAATGGTTCAGTCGTGGGTATCCGTGTATAAAGCTATTCATCTGCTACCTGCAGTTCTCAAGAAAATAAGTTTTGAAAAAGAATAACTACAAAATGCCTGTATGAAAGAAACATTTTTTTCCTTACGACAAAATGGCGCATGTACACAATCATTGCTAAATGGTTAAAACCCTACTTAAATTAAACTGTAGAACAATATTTTCTTTCGGAACATATTATTCTGTTTACGGACAATATTCATGTGTGTTCATGGTGTTGAATAACTGAAACATTCTACGTTACAATTCTATCGATATTCGACCATAAGATTAAGAATACAAAATAAATTTACTGTATTAAACATTTTTATATAAATGTTTCATTAGATATAGCTTTATATCCTTTCATACATATGCACCTACTAGTATGCCTCGGATAATGACTATGGAAGATCACAGTTCATTCTTTTATATTTTAACCACATTCTGTACATTTTTTTTTCTTGTAAAGTTTGAATATCAAATTGATTTTAATGCATTTTTGCTATAAAGTTGATTTACTTCATAATTTGCTTTTATTAGGAGGTGCCCACAAAGATCAGAAATAAAGATTAAATTAAAAGGTTTGGTTTTGGAAGCAATACTGTTTCGATAAGCCGAAATGAAACGAAATGAAATATCGCACGCGCACTCATTGGCTTACCGTTTCTTCGAAACCTTGACCAATGTCGTAAGAAAATGATCGCTCTTTGCCTTGAACGGCAAGGGCGGATATATGGGTATGTGTGGGTGTGGATTGTCTAAGCACCTGACTAGAATTCACGCCAATCATTCCTGCTTTCGGGTCTATTATCAATGGCTGATGTTCCGTGAATACTCGGTTGAAATTATTGTCCCTGTTTTGAAGCTCTAAGCGATATCGACGAACTTCCGCACGTAGTTTCTCCAATTCGTCATTATAATCCTACAAAACAAAAAAATATTAGAAATAAATAATTTATTTACTTAGCAAAACATATCTTATTGCATTGTGTTCCATAATCAAACGAATTCCTTGACTAAAAAATCTTCAGATACATTGAGCAATACGTCTTCAATATTGTATTTATCATGAACAACTTTGTTGAATAAATAAATACATGTTCAGCACAAATTTTCTTATTTTGCATTAAAAATTCTCTAGAAAATTTAACTTTCAATTTTTGTTTCTATTTTCTCATTAAAGAGTTCCAAACAAATGACAGACACTCACGAATGGCGAATGGCGGGCCATGTCATGTACCGATATTTAAAAGTTCCAGAAGCATTTTTCCTTACTTTGTGCCAGTGTGAATTTTTGCTAATGATAATTGTTACGAACGTGTTGACCACCACTATTGCAGCAGCAGCAGAAAACAAGCAAATTTAATTTTGTTAAAGGACATTCTATGATTATTGTACAATACTTTATGTTTTTGTTATAAAATTGAAATTATTCAAATATAACATAACACTATAATAAGTTTAGTACTGAACATAATATAGAAGGACAACCAAAATTCTTTGTACTCTACTGTCAAATTTTAAATTGGAACTTTGAAGTTTTGTCATACATCTGTATGTTATTTAACTAACAAATATTAAAAAACAAAATATCTACGCTAGTAAACTCTCTTTAACTTCATGTCACAATGTCAAAATATTTGTTCATAAGTAAATTAACATACACTTGTTAAAAAGAATGCTATTATGCTTTTTTGTAAGAATTGATATCAGTGTGGATGAACTGGGCCTGCCCGTACGCTCTTATTCCTTTACATGTTTATCTTAGGTGTTTTTAAAATCGTATATATATTCAATCATATTTCTCGTTGTATTTTTCTTTTCTTCTAGCTTTTCTCCATAAGTTACCTTTGTTGTCCATTCAAAGTGCTTACATCTAACCGCAACGTTTTTGTATCTTTATTTCGAAAATTTACCTTTACTGGATAGGAATTGATACACGTATTGTTTTTACTTGTTTTCCAATTCAGTCTGAATTACTTCGTTGTGATATATTTGTAAATGTTATTTTATGTACAATATTTTTTAATAAATAAAAGTTTAAACTAAAGGAATGTATAAGAAAAAGAATCGAACAATAAACAATAGACTGCTTTAAAGAGTTGGTGACATTGTCAGAAGGGATTATTGAAACGCTGAAACGAGCAATTCTTTTTGAACACAACGAGATAACAAAAACAACTTATATCAACTAAAGACGCATGCAATTATGATAACAAGTGCTGTGTTAATGTGGTCTATACGCTTTATTTTCGGTGTCCGTGGTTTCTTGAATTGGATCAAGAATTCTAATTATGTGAAATATCAAAACGTTATATCCTTGATTTTCTATTGACATTCTGCATAGCGTATTAAGAAAAGCAATATTAATAAGCGATTTGACAACTACGATCTTAATAAGTATTTGCAAGGTTATACCATTAGAAAACATAATAACTTTTAATAGAATATATTCATGAAGCGTCGAGATTGATTATACAGTGTATATTTTAAGTATATGATAACAATCGAATGCTCTGTTAGACAAATTTTATAGCATTGAAAAGAGTAACAAGTGTTGATACGATTGGTTTAATGCAATTTCAAAATGGTCTGACACTTCATAAACATTGATATAATAACCCCTAATAATTATGTGTAGATTATATTATAGTTTAAATGTTTTCAGCCAAAACATTTGAGTTCAGTATTATAACAGTAAAATATCTTTATGAATAAATAAAAAAAAACGTTTAAAACGAATCGGAAATTGTATTACTTTCAACTGAAGGGCAAAAAATCCTTCCAACGCCCATTTTGAACCTGCACTTAAAACAGTACAAACTGGGGCAAGTTGGTCGGACATGCAAAGGTTGACTATTGCTGTTATATAATATACATTTCCAACAAAGATCAATAAAAAGAGTTGAGTTGACCAATATAACTTCGAATTATATATTATTTCCTCGATTTATAACGAATCAATAAATATTGTAATTAATTAATGTATACATGTATCTTTTGTAGATGTAGATGCCAATTTCCTGATCAAGTTAAGTCGAGCTGATTGAAATAAACATCATACTAATAGTGTGTACAATGATGGCAATATATTTAACCATCAATTTACAAATGTCTTCGGTATTACAAATGTCTTCAGTAATTTGTAATTTATCTTACTATACGTATAATTGTAATCCTTTTTTTAGCTTTAAATATATAACTTAGCATTCAATAAACTAATCATATATCTTTAAGTATAACTAGTAATATACAAACGTAAATATGTTCCTTAACGATATGTATTGCTATTGGTACAAATATATAATTAAGAAATGAATGTACAAACCGAAAACGATTGTTGTACAGGAGCTGTTCTTGGGATTTTAACGACCTGGTTTTGTTGAACAACGTCTGATACTTTCTTCTGAAAATCCTTTCGTAGTGATCTTAACTCTGATTCTAATAGTTTCACACGAGATATTAAACTTTCTTTCACTTTGTGTGTCTCATCTAACAACAATTGCATTTCTAGACATTCCTTTTCTAATTTGTCATTATTTCTTTCTAAGTTTTTGATCGTTTCGTTTGCCTGCAATTGCTTAGTTTGCAAAGACCTTTCTAAATCAGACACTTGTTTTCTAAGATTTGACAATTCTGCCTCCCTCCTTTGTATTTCATCCGTTTTAGAATTCAATTGCTCTTCTACTTTTTGTCTTAATTTTTCAATGTCTTTTTGTGCATTTATAAGAAGATCCCTGAGGTTTTGAGTTTCCTGTTTTTCATCATTTAAAGCTTTTTCTGCTGCCACAAGTTTTCTTCTCCACTCATCTTCTTTGTCACTAGTTTCCTGGGCAACAACTTCTTTGATTATTTCTGTTTGCTTATTTCTTTCCCGTTCTAATTTCCTTTCTAACTCAACAACTTTATTTTCAAGTTTTCCAATTCTCGTTCTTCCATCTTCAATTACGTGCGTTATCTCGTCTTCGTATGATTCCTTTAAAGCGTCGATTTCAACTTCTTTTTCATGGTTCCGAGTGAATAACATGTGTACAACTTGAGTTAACTCGGCCACTTTCTTAGACATACGAAACTCAAGTGTTCGTTTAACTTTATCCGCCATTGTTATGCATATGGCGGTTGAACTATCCGAATACCACTAATGTATATTCCCTTAGTGATAAATGTCTTTGCCTTTCATTCCTAATACTTTTATCTGTAATGCATTCTTCAGCTTTGAGTATTCCATTCCATGGCGAGAAAATTACCCCTTGAACGAAAGAAATGAAAGATCAGTTGTAGAAAAAATGACTGCTTTTTTCTAAAGACTATACAATGTAGATCTAATTTGATTTTCAATAAATTATAATGACATGTTCTGCCATTATATATGATGATGATATATCCTTTATAAGTAATCGTTCAATCATGATATCAGTTTTCAAATTAAGGCGACAAATATCTTTATTTCAAGGTTGTAATATACTATCGATCACAAATACCATATTTATATATACTGCAAATATTCATCAATAAGATTATATAGTAAAAAGTAGTATGTATTCCGGATGAAAGAAACGTTTACAATACCATCCCGAAACTGAAAGAGGAAAGAAAGGTTCTTTAAATAACATACCTTCTATTAGCCTGTATTAACAAATATACACATTTTGTTTCTAGTTTCCGTACGAAATGATATGAAGATTTATTTGAACAGACGTAGCCTATTTTTATGTAAGAATGTAGAATAATAGCCGAAATGTTAGTCCACATTAAACCATTTAATCCTTTCCATTCAGATCAAAAGTAAATTCGGCTATAAAAATGAGAGGAAATCGCCTTGTTATGTACGTAAGGATTTGAATTTTAACTATTTTAAACGTTAACAATATATTACACCGGGGTTTAAATATCAGTTAAGTGTTTGTGTTATCGACGTATCGGATCAATGGCACACCGAGGTTGACATTCATAACAAATCAGGACTTGTAAAGTATTTTCAATAAAATCGCTAACGAAATAACCTTTTAACACAGAGCAATTAAGTGTCGGATTGTCTTATTTCTTTTGTTCGGTACATTATAATGACGGGCAAAAATAAACAACTTATAAATAGAAAGAAATGAGTATTTTTATTCATGCATGTCGATTTGAAAACAGTACTGAGACATTGAATTCATTATTTGAATAAGATATGTAAACAAATAAAGGGAAAATATAGCAATAAAGGAAGAGTAATTTACGCGCTGCTATTGATCATACAATGCAACTAGAAATTTCTTTTAATGAATACAGGCTGTTTAAAAGTACTTTTCATTGAACCATGTCATAAGTGTCAATGACAACATGAATCCACGTAAGACTTGATCGATCACAAGAACTCTATGATAGTGTCTAAATTACCATTGTTCGTCCACTGTTTGAACAGTTGAACTTTAATAATATTTATATAATGATTTCCTAATATTTCTATAAGCATTAAACGTTGCCAATAGTAATTTCAAATCGGTTTCGTTTATTGGATTTTGCAAGTATCAACTATTTTTTGTTTAAAAAGGGGATCTAACAGGGTGGCGAACCTAGATGATTGTTTGACCATGTACACGGTTGAAATTAAAATAGCCACGGTTCTGGTAGGCCTTTCGTCAACATCTTTACATATTAAACAAATTTTCTTCAAAATGAAATGTTTAAGCCCTTACACAGAAAGCACGCGGTTGTCGTGGACTTTGCGTGAAGAGACTGTGATGTTCCGTAATCTTCGTATCGATCTATACACGGACACATATGTATATTCTTAACCTGTGCACTTTGTATAAATAATGTCACCGACTAAATCAGTTCGGAAATTATTGCGGAAAATTAGAGAATTTTCAAGCGAAATGTATAACAGTTTGTTATCAAAATTAATTTCTATATAAAGGTTTATACACTTTGTTTGAAGAATATTCATTCTGTAAAAGAAAATTGTTAACCATTTTCCGCCGTCCAAAAAGACACGTGGGATTGCCATCCTGTATATGTCCAGAGATGATATTTTACATTGTTTATTTCTTGTATTGAAACATTATTATGGTTGGGGTGGGGGTGGGGGACACGTGGCGTGCCTACAAGTATAGAATTGTTCTCTTAAAATAGTTAGAATTATATCGGTACAGTCAGGTTTAATAATAAAGTGTTATTACTATAAGTTAACAACGTATACTACACAGAGTATTTGTATTATATGAATTAGGATATGCACTACAACGCCATTATTAAAAGACTAACATTACCTTGGCAGTTATCTGGAATCCAACAAACTTGTTTTCATGCACATTTTATATCACTATAGTTTATAGTTAAAATAGCTGAGATGTAAATTTACTATGAATAAACACCTGTTTTCTGTTATCATCATGTTATCTTATATTAAACTTTGTCCTACAAAAATACTTTAACTTCTATGTACACTAAATTCCATTTCAAATCTGTCATTCAAATCTATCAGACGAATGCCTGAAAGATAAAAAGTAAAGTTTGCACGGTCATTAAGTTTTGTCACAGAATTTGTGAAGTATATTGATTTCGGATTGATCGGATTTTGTAGACGAAGAAAATATCAATTTCCTGTCAAATTGTGTTTGATATATTTGAAAATGTAGTGCGAAATTGCATCGATTGAGAGCGCTTATGTTACGAGAGCAGACGACTTGACTCTTATTATTGAGATTAATTTTCTTGACAGCAAACAAGCGTTTTTTTTTGCATAAAAAATGAATGAACACAGCGGTACAACGGTGAACACTTGAAATTGTCAGGAAAGTGTCACTTTTGACATATATTCCAATGCTCATAAGAGTGAACCCAGTAAATCACGAGGAGCCCACAAATGTCAGGAAAAGAAGGGGGGAAATACTTTTAAAATGTTGAGTGCTAAAAAATGAAATTTGTTTGCAGAATTTACTAAATAAAAAAGATAAATCATTCAAAAACTTGTTTAACTGACCAATTTTAGAAATGTCATTTTATAATAAAAAGTTTATTTAGTCGGGAAAAAATTAAATGATCATTCCCTGCCGGTAACTCAGAGCTGCGACAAGCAAAACTTCATTTGTTTTTAAAATTCGTATTTCCCTGTAATGGCGAAAATATTGCTGACATTCTCTGTGACATATTTTATTCTATTATAGATTAATGATTGTTCAAATGATCGAAATTGTTATTTCCCCTTCGTGATTATGTTTAATCATCGAAACCTAGCAAAATGCATATACAAATGTAGAAAATTGTTTTAAATTTTGTTTAATGACTAAAATTGAAAGTACAATAAAAATTGATATTATTATTATTATTATTATTATTATTATTATTATTATTATTATTATTATTATTATTATATCAAATAAGGTATCCGTATGCTAGATCCTTAGTTATCTGCTCTTGAAAATAACCTATAAAGAGTAAAGAAAACACACTTTCAAGGAAAGATAACCCAATAACTATGTTTTACAACCCTCTTTTTTCTTAACCTTTTTGTCTTCACTATTTTCAGAGATTTTTTTTCTCAATCATGCACCGCACTGTTTTAGAAACTCTGTGCAGTTGGTTCAATTTTCATTCTTTGCCAAGCTGTACCTTATGAAATATTATTTGAGCCGCGCCATGACAAAACCAACGTAATGGGTTTGCGACCAGCATGGATCCAGACCAGCCTGCGCATCCGCGCAGTCTGATCAGGATCCATGCTGTTCGCTATCAGTTTCTCTACTTGTTATAGGGTTTGTAAGCGAACAGCATGGATCCTGACCAGACTGCGCGGATGCGCAGGCTGGTCTGGATCCATTCTGGTCGCAAACGCATTACGTTGGTTTTGTCGTGACGCGGCTCATTTTATGAAATTTTATCAGCAATTAGAAAATATTGCCTCCATAATCTTATGATCGATTCTCGAAAGAGTTATAACACAAGATGTCCCTGTTATTTAACACATATGAATGCTGTACGTAAACAGAATAAAACGTATTACCAGTTAAGCAATGACTTCGTGCATGCGCCATTCACTTTTATAGCAATTTACTACCATAACTTTTTTTATACCAGTTTGGGAGTATTCTTTTTCAAGCATTATTCAAATAATCGTATTTCTGATTTGACCAATTTTTATTCGAGCTATTAATTTTCTCGTTCCTGTTGTCTTGTGATATATTCATGATACAAGTTAACCACATATATGTAGGCTATTTATATTCGTTATATTTATTTCTTGTATATGCCCTCATTTTATACTTTTAATTCATGTATGTATGAAAATTTTATTGTATCAATCAACAAAAACAACAACTTACACATTGCACCATTAATTGCCTCCGGATTCATGCTAATTTTAGTGAAATTTTGAGAATGTATTTAAAAGTAAAATTTTGTGAAGGGAACCAAGAGAGTAATTTACACATTGCAAAAGTATACTTACACAATCCACTTAAATTACCAAAAGAGGTCAAAGTATGCAAAAATAGTCCTAACTGCGTTAGTCACGTTGTAGAAAATTGGTGATATATCTTACAAAATGAGACATTTATCGCATATAACGTGTAAATTATTATTTGAATCCAGAATCTTGTTACTTGTCTTAAAATCGAAGTACATTTTTCTAAATGTTGATTTTTTTAAAGATTTTGGCTCACCTTGAGACATGCAGTTTTAAATGGATGTGCACATCGCTTTTAAACTGTCTGGTCTTATATACTTTTTCCTTGGCTATGAATGACTAATAATGTTTTATCAGTCAGTCTTAAATCTTATATCACACAGAATAAGAAAAGTAAGTTAATTCATGAACTTGATTCGTTATCAGCAAAAGACCCATTGTCTCGACAAAGCGTTTTCTTCTTAATACATCAACGTGTATACAAGGAAGATTTTCTACAATATTCAATTTTACAAGAAATTAATTAGATCAGCAAATATTTACCCAGCAGTTACGCATTTCATTAAATTTTGAACAGATTTCTGATATCTATCATTTTAATAGCGCTTACAATCATGGATTGTCGGGGGTATCGATCAATTTAATAAATGAAATAGTGTAACGATCTAGAAAGACGATATACCAAACGTGGAGCATTCCTTGAAGAACACTATCATTAAAATAAAACTCATTCAAAGATACAAAGAAGTTGTTGAGTACAAAGTGTATAAATTAGCAAAGGACAAAGATCTGCAAACACATCTGATTCAGTTAAATGATATTTGTATTTGTGTCTATAATTATTATGAACTAATCTGCAAAATCATGGTGGTTTTAAGGAGCCACTCGTGCATCAAATATCTATATATATAAGAGATATAAGAGTATGTTTCAAATAGAACTGGCGACACCTTATTTCGTATTTTGATTACTGTTTTAAATATTGAATCTTTCTTTTTGAAGATTTTTAACACATGTAAAATGGGCGGATATGATTTGATACATTTATTTATAGGTTTAAAATAGAAGCTTTTCTTAAAAGGTTTGTTAAAAAATGTTTGAAAATTTTGCTTATTTTCACAACAGTAGCTTTGACCTATGCATCTTTTTCTAAACCAAGTATAAGCATTAAAAAGAATACAAAAACTATAGTGCACAATAGTATGGCATGTGGAGGCAAACAGTTCATTTGTGTTTTCAAGTGTACATTTTTCTACTTTGTTTTATTTTGTTTATTTTTTTTGTTTTTATTTCCCGTTGTTGTTGTTTTTTCAACAACAACAAAAGCTATTGTGCTTCATAAACCAAAGCATGTTAATCGTCACAGAAACATATCTTCAAAGTTAGTCTCACCAGAGTTTTTAAATCAGAATTTGAGAGATTATGCTTTCATTTACAGTTGATTATAAAATACAACTTACATATTTTGGTATTCCTAAATCTAATAATTAAAACTGAAGCTTCGTTATTTTTCACTCCAAAACATACTATTAAACTCCAAACTCTACTTAGATATATAAATCAAATTTGATATTAACATTAATCCTCGATAAAGGGATTAAATTAATCCATATAGGGTGAAACGGCTTATTTCTTTTATAAAAACCAATACCCAAAATTCAGATAACGATGGTATGGGCCTATCATAGATCAAATTTAATGATAAAACATGCTGTGCCCATGTAGCATTTTTCTATTTTATTCTAAGGCTTTTCTCCTTGTTTACCAGAGACTCTTTATAAATTGACGTCTTCCCCTCAGGAAATGTTATAACAATCATGCAGTCTACCATATCAGTCGAAGAGCCCCTCCCCCACCCCCTACCCGTGAAAAAAAAGAAAAGAAAAAAAACAAACAAAAAACTGTCTGTATGCAGAAGTATAATAATCTCCGGAATATAATTTGTCTTTTGAAATGTTGAACTTCAAGTTTTAAATTATCCAGCTTTAATTGGTTTAAACATATTTATTTAAGCTCGATTGCGAAACAAGTTCTTGCAAGTAATATTAATCACTTTCGAGTCCGCTTCCTGGAACCAACCAGTACTGTTGTCATATGAAGAAACATGGTTGTGACCCGTTTAGGGCTCGAGAACCCATGATCTCTGGTTGAGTGGCAGACACCTTAACAACTAGGCCACCGCTCCCCTTTAATCCAGCTTTAATTATGCGAATGTTGGAGATACAAAGATGAACAAGCAAGTATAGTGAAACATGCATTTTGAGAAAAAGAGGATGTTTTAGGTATCAATGTTATAACGGGATGTAACTGTATTCGTCAATGGTCATGATTACAGGCGTGGTCAATTCCGTATGGCGGCTCCCGAACTTCACTTTAGTGTTGTTATATTGTCTTTGTCATTCGGGGAGTCGGGACCATCCCAGCGCGTTAATAAGTATTAAAGATTTGGTGCTAGAGGAAGTGATGAATGTGACGCTTTAACATATTATCTTTCACGAACATAATTGAGCCGTCTCACGACAAAACCAACATAGTGTGTTTGCGACCAGCATGGATCCAGACCAGCCTGCGCATCCGCGCAGTCTGATCAGGATCCATGCTGTTCGCTTACAAACCCTATAGAGAAACTGATAGCGAACAGCATGGATCCTGATCAGACTGCGCGGATGCTCAGGCTGGTCTGGACGCATTACGTTGGTTTTGTCGCGACGCGGCTCAATTATTTATTAAATTAAAATCGAGCCAGCAATTTTCATATACTGTTGTTTTCATTGCATCAGAGGTATCAACCGTTTTTGAGATTAAAAAAACCGTTAATCTTCAAATAAAAAAGGCCAAGATTGAACAATACATCGTAGATTATTATGCCATTTAAAATTTATAATATTTTATTGCCCATTAAATTTATGGCCTTTTTTATTTAATTATACTAAGCATCGGAATAAATGTGTTTTGTGGCTATTTCTAAATTATAAAGGGACATGGTTCGATAGAAATACAATAATATTTAGTATGTTGAAATTTTCCTTACTGAAATATACCTTCTGGCACATTCTCAGCTGGTTTCTAACCAATCAAATAACTCGAGCTTTGAGTTTGACACAGAACTCAAAAGTGCATTCTCAGATGTTGATGGACAATATTTGATGAATATTGTTACTTTACTTTTAAACAAAAATTCTTGGTTTGTTATTTATTTTATTTATTTATATTGGGTTTTACGTCACATCGACACAATATAGGTTATATCGCGACGTTCCAGCTTTACTGGTGGAGGCTCAGGTGGCTTTCCGTGCATTAGTTCAGGTACGAATGAGTATACTGCTCTATAGCTTCTTCACATGAAAGAATCCAAAGTCCCTGTCGGGATTCGAACCCACAGCGATGAGGGGCAAGTGGTTTGAAGTCAACGACCTTAACCACTCGGCCACAGACGCCCTGGTTTGTTATGTACAATGTATAATTGACCACTTGTAACACATAGCTTACTATGCAGCATCTTTCATTTAAAAATGTATCTTCTAATGTCACAAAGTGAATAACTAAAAACAAAAAAAAATGGTTGATTTGGATTTCTCTTGGTGGTCCTCGCCCATATCTATAAAACCATTCATGCCAAATTCAGGAAAAATGGACAAACCATTTCTTGAGACGGACTGATTGATTATGCTATTTATGGGAGACAAAAATATTTAAAGATATTCATAAGTTATCACTACCTAAATTAGCTCACAAGACGAAATCAGTTAAGTTATATGCGATGGGTGTCCTTATCAAACGCAAATAATGCTTGTTTGTTTTAAATATTTGAAGAAAATCCATTAGATAATAATGAAAAAAAGTTTATTCCCTTTTAAATTCAATTACATTTGATAGAATCATCGATGGACTGTAATGAATCGTAGAATACTAACATATTTGTATTTGTATATTATTTGTATTTTTTACGGATATAATGTCACCTATTAATCTAAACAAATTAATATTTATACGTTCGGGCGAAATGTAATTCTATGTATTTATTGTCGGAATCATACACCGTAATTTAGTATTTCTTTATAAGGAAGTAATCGCAAGTTATGTTTTTGGCGGCAATTGTGCACGAGTTTCTTGTAATTAGTAAAGCGGGCATCCGAGGTTTATTTGTCAGGCCGTTTAGATGTGAAATTTCCGAAAATATTGAAATATTTTCGATTATATTATACAGAAAGTAAATGTTTCTTACAATTGTTTTCTTTTTCAGGATTATGTACAGCTCGGAGCAAAGTAAATATGTGTTTTTATACGCAAAATAAATAATATCCACGGACTTTCAAAATCGATGTCATGAGACATATTCATTTAATTCCGTTTTGATTTACTGTGAATTATTATTCTGTTTGCATATAATTATGTACATGAAATGAGTTTATTTCAGGGATAAATTACATTTGTATATGTCTCTTTGCCAATTTATAATTTTCAAAATTCGTTTCCTTTTTCCATTATGGCATAAAATTTTAGACCGCTAAATTTGGGATTCGAAGGAGCCGCTGGTCTTGAGCCTGGATTCATCCTTCAACAATACCTCCCCCTCCCACTTTGGAGTAGAGTTGGGTATCCCGCTCGCAGCAACCTGACTTTTCGAATATTTTCTTTACAAAAAAAAAAGGAAGTTTATATTTCTTTACTTTTACACGTAGTATTTGGCATATCTTAACAGATTAATTTGCTTAGAAAATTTATTACTATAAATGGGCCTACAATTGAAGCTTTTTTGGACTTTTGTCTTAACAAAAATTGATATCCAGAATTTTGTCTTTGTTGGTTGGTTAGTGGAGACGGCTTACAAATACTCCCTCTAGCCTCTTTAAACTCTGTGTTGTGTTGTTTATTATTTCAAAGGTGTATTATTAAAGAATATAAATGATTTTTGAGTGTAACGAATTAGAGGCAAAGTACATGCTTGCTATTACGAGTCCCGCAAATTTTTATACTACGTCGCGGACTATCGTAAGGCAGGACAACAACAACAAATTCAAGCAGACGAGAGGAAGGCCTGTAGGTCTAGTGGCATAAGAGGAGAATTAGACAATCCCTGGATTTTTTTTTCATTCTATATTTTATCAGTGTAATATACTACAAGACTACTTATACTATATATCAGGGAAAGACCCCGGGAACTGATCTAGGTCAGTAGGCTATAGCTAAAGATACTTCAGCGAACAGGTTTTATACTGTCGCAACGTCAAAATAAAAGCGACATATTATGTCATATAAAGTTATGGAAGCCAGAACTAGGGTCAGTGATTTATCACTTTATTCGCGTCCGCCAGGGGCGTAGCCAGCTTTTTTCAAATTGTAGGCTCATAAAAGGGGGTTTTGGGGGCTAAGCCCCCAGAAGACAAGTTCAGATTAAAAACACAGGCAAAAGTATCGGACCTGGGAAGAAAAAATATGACCAGATTGATAAAAAAACCCTGTGTTCCTCTTAAAAGTGTCAAAAAAACACAAACAAATGTATATAATGACCCCCTTTAAAAATATACTATAAGTTAAGAGAAGGCCGGAAACTCCAGATTCGAGCCTACGAGCAAGGGATTCATTTCCCGGGCCGTTGTGAAAAAATTGGCCAGACAATTTTAAAAAAAAACTTTTATCACTATTTCACGTTTATATAAAGCTTCAAAATGAGACCAACCCCAAGTCTCTAGCCCTTCCCGTTCATGAAATATCTATCAGGAAACGAGCGACTTCGTGCTAAAAATCCTTGGTAGACATAATTGCGGCACAACAATTCGGTACGTAAACATAGACTAATACATGTATATCAGCTGACTACGTGTCAAAATTACTTGAATTTACTAAATAATATTACTAAATACATTAAGTTGGACCACTCACAACCGTCAGTAGCATCAAATACACATGAGATTCAAGTTTCAAACATTTACACGGTCTTTCAATCGCTTTCTACACCATTATGCATCTTGTGTGAAACGTTCTGGTTTTCGTTGCTATTGGCCAATCAGAAGACTCGTTACAAAATATCGAACAGCTGATTGACAATGGCGTAGAAAGTAATCTAAAGACCGTGGAAATGTTTGAAATTCAAATTTTGCGTGTATCAGATGCTACTGACGGTTGTGAGTGGTCCAACTTAATGTATTTAGTAATATTATTCAGTAAATTCAAGTAATTTTGACCCGTAGTCAGCTGACATACATGTATTAGTCTATGTTTATGTACCGAATTGTTGTGCCGCAATTATGTCTACCAAGGATTTTTAGCACGAAGTCGCTCGTTTCCTGATAGATATTTCACGAACGGGAAGGGCTAGAGACTTGGGGTTGGTCTCATTTTGAAGCTTTATAAAAACGTGAAATAGTGATAAAAGTTTTTTTTAATTGTCTGGCCAATTGTTTTCACAACGGCCCGGGAAATGAATCCCTTGCTCGTAGGCTCGAATCTGGAGTTTCCGGCCTTCTCTTAACTTATAGTATTTTTTAAAGGGGGTCATTATATACATTTTTTTTTGTTTTTTTTGACACTTTTAAGATGAACACAGGTTTTTTTATCAATCTGGTCATATTTTTTCTTCCCAGGTCCGATACTTTTGCCTGTGATTAAAAAGTGGAAATTGAGCGTTCTAAAGTATTTTCAAGGAAATAAACAAAACAATAATTTTAAAGTTAGTTTTGGCTTCCAAAACTTTATAAGCCGCTATTTAACAATTTTGTTTTTCATCTGAATCCTGATGAGGCATTAAAGTTTTGGATTTGAGACCCGTTACGAAACCTAACCAGAATAACATAAGTTGAATTAACCTTATTTTTCACTTGCAAATACACTTGACCCAATCAATTCTTGTGCATTTTACGATTAAACAATTATTTTAACATTGTTCTATAGATACCAATAAAAGTATCAAAATATTAATGGAAGTCAGGCTAGCTGTACCGTACGGGCCCGTACAGCTAGCCAAACGTTCTAGCCGTACGTGAGTCACATACAACTAGCAAGGATACACTGTATTGGCTAGTCGTACGGCATTTTCAAAATTAGACAGACGTCGAAAATGCATATGTTATTTTATGACTTTAAGCGAGGATTGTAACCAAGAAATAGCAATTAATTGTCTGCGTATGTTTACTTTTTAGAGATTAATTGCCTTGTTGGCTACAGTAAAAAAAGTACGAATATTGATCTTTGTCATCTCAAGACGTTGAGAAAATCGCAGTAAAATAACATCAATTGAAATAATTTACAAAATTTTGATTTTGATGAAAATCCGTTTTTGTTTAATTAAGTTTAATTTTCGACACCTTTAAAATGAAAAATTATTGTTGTTGGGATCTGATAATTGGGTCAATTTACCGACGATATAGAAGTTTGTTCATCATTAAGGAAAGTTTGCATGTTCCTTGAAACGCATTTTAAAATTCTATTATCAGTCCCTGCATGAGTACGGGCTTTAATTAAGGCTTATTAATTGATTGTGCTGTTATGTTCGATATTTATCTACTGTATTTGAAAATCATACAAATATTTTTGCTTTTCACCGTTTTTGTTTTTTGTTGTTTTTTTCAATGTTCTTTTTATTTCTTCCACTCCGATCATTATTTATTCGATCCATATGCTAAATTAACAAAAATTCACCTTTCATACAAATAAACCTTAAAACTTATCCTGTGTTGATTGTTTGTTCCACTTGTATTGTTTTTCTTGTTTCATACAAATAAAACAACAAATCATAACAGTCTTCGAAATTAACGCCAGTCCGAGGCCCGAGGCCACTAAATTTAGCATCGGTCCGGTGATTATTGCAAGGTTGGTGGTCCGACGGACCAGTAGATTTTTTGTCATGAAAAAATATTATAAGAAAAATTCATCAAAATAATGAAGCAGGGTTCTCTAAAAGATTGATCTTTTTGCCTTTTTTGCAAATGAAACCCATCAATTCTGTCCTAAATGTTCAAAATACAGCGAGAGATGTCTAAATTGTATTGAGTAATGGAGGCCGCCATTTTTTTTCTTGGTTATTTTCCGTACCGCGCCGTACAGTTTACGGAAATTAAACCATTGTTTTTTATGGTCATTATTTAGCTATGATTTTGTGATTATTGAGTTAAGTAAATATTTTGTGTGAAAGTGATTTGTTTGAAGCAAATTGCGTTGTTCATGTTCAATTCTAGTCAATTTTGCCTATAGTAAACAGTTGGTCCTTAAAGATTTTTCAAAGCTGTCAACATATGGCCCAGAATACAAGACGTATTATGCTTCTTTCAAAATTATCAAGGGAAGCATGATAAAGTGTTTTCCTGTGCCCATCTATTTATTACCTATCTATGTATTTGGTCCGGCTAAAAATCACCAGGTCCAGTAATATTTGATATTTTACTGGCCCGAATGTCCTGTGCTTTTTAAAGTTTTTCGTGAAGACTGATCATAATCATGAGGCACAAAATAACATATAAATGTTCGACTTCCATATAATTTTGAAAAGTGCCGTACGGCTAGACAATACAGCGCGTCCAGGCTAGTTGTACGTGACTCACGTACGGCTAGAACATTTGGCTAGCCGTACTGGCCCAGGGCCGGCAAAATCTCAGAAAATTGTACTTGTCCACGGACAAGTAACCTAAGAAATTTACTTGTCCGTACTCAATGTTCACTTGTCCGTATTTATATTTAATATTTACTGCAAATGTCAATAAAGAAGAGCAATATGATTATGAACTTTCTTTCAATTTTATTAAACATTCTGTGCCATATGTTTAGTAATATAATATATTATGATTGTAATATAATATATTTATAAAATATTAACGGCAGTAGATTAAATTAGAACGACAGTGATGGACAAATTGTGTATATTTTACTGGAAGGAGCATTGGTCTTTTGCCAGCACTTTTTCAGTTTTCCTTGCACCCAAATTGCTCTAAAGTATTGTCTTCATTTTTTTGCACTCAGGTACCATTTCTTATTTATTCACTCCTTATTCTATTCATCTATATAATATTCATTTGAATCCTGTTAAAAAATCATATGTTCTCTTGAGTTAGATTTGTCAAATTGATGACATCTGTTTTTTTTTAACGATATAATTATGATTGCCACAGAATGTAATATCATATACGTATATACGCTTGGTTGCGGCAGATGAATTGTGAAAATTTTGACATCATTATCATCGGCGACGATGAAACTGACATGTATACATTAACACCAGTATTAGACATTCAAAAACAAAGGCATTTTCACAAGAAATCTTTACATAAAATAAATTATAAAATGACTTTGTCCACATAAATTCAAGCAGTCAAATTGCCGATTTGAGCGTAAATATTCCCGAATGACCTGGAAAAGCTATACAATGTATTTAATTTTCATACAACACAGCGGTATTTCAAAGAAAATTGTTGCGAGATTGATGCTGTATCTGCTAACTTAACAATAAATGCGCTTGAAAAGACCACAGCTTCCAAGTCAATTTTATGGCAGAATCCCCGTTGCTACCGAAAATATTTTATTGCAGAAGCTAAGTCGGCAGTCATAAACCAAAACAAACATGTACCCCACATAGTGACCTTGATACGTTTAATAATTAGTTAATTGCCGCGCGCATGCAGTAACTGAACAGTGATTTTTCTCACTTAATTGGGAAGAGGCCTGAGCCTCTTGATTTTGGGAAAAATTATCGCTAAAATTGCTGATTTGGGAAGTAAAAAAGCTGGTTTAAGTTCAGATTTTTGGGAAAACTGCATGATTTTAAAGAAAATTTCAATTGGGAAGAGGCCTTTTTTCGGAGTCTGTTATATAAGTAGAAAAATCACTGCTGAATGACTTAAGGTAAACCCCAAGCCTGGTTGGTCGCTATTTATGTAAACACTTAAAATAGTAACACCCTAATATGCACGGAATGCCTTCATGAATGACGCCACACTTCACATGCTAGTTTTCGAATAAAATTTGTGATTTTCCTTCTGATTTAGATCTATTAGAAAAGAACTAGATATAACATCTTTGTTGACAATCATGATTTCAATATTTTTATTCAAGATAATGTTTTTATTTGTTTTCATTAATTTTTTAATACCTAAATATGATTTTATTGAATACAAAAGTCAGTAAATCACCTTTTTCAATATCTTTAGAAAAAGTAATTTATAAAAATATTGGAAGCACATGGGTTCGTAAAGGTCACTCTTGTAATCACGTGGTCAAACATTTTGGCAATATGGCAGCCAAGTGCCGAAATTTTTACCTGTAGGAAACTATTAGGTAGTTTATGTTCGTAATAAGATTTTTATTTGTCCATCCTTGGCTTATCAACAGATTATATATAGTTTTATCAAGGTATGCTTCAATTTACTTCATGGCAATTGTTCGATGAATGAATATGAGGGTGTCGGATTCCTGGCACGATTATTGGTGGACTTTCCCTACGGGGTTGTCTTCAGCGTTCACGTCATGTCATAGTATATAAACGGGTACGCTGAAGACCTTAAGCTATTTTAAAGTATGAATTTGATTAGATGCCAACTTTATTGAGGACGGTAAATCATGCATCAGCATAAAAGACACTTGATTCGACCATACGGCTTAAACACACTACCAATTCCACCCACGCCTGGTTTTATTGTATTTTTGGGACTTTCAAAATGTCAATTTCTTGACCAACTTTAGGCCTGGACCTACATAGCCTATAAGTAGCTACGCCACTGTCCGCGCTGAAGCGTGACTTTCGACACTGACACCCTTTATGGAATGAAATAGATTTTGTGAAAGGGCAGCAGCAACTTCTCAGGCCTTTTAGTCGGTCATAATAGCCGATCATTCTGATTGGTATGAGGGTATTTGATTATCAAAAATGAAATGTCGTGAACAATATGAATAGCAAACTGGAGAATTTCGCAATGCAAACATATTCAAATGAAATTATCTTATCCGTCAATTAATCGCGCTCTTCGGGGTTTTTTTTATTAATCATTTTGCACTACGACATTTTGACCTCAAGAAAAACTTCGTATTAGAGCTTCCCACTGGAACATCAAATGCTGTGTTTTTATTGAGAATGAGCGCAAAGTCAAATGAGAACCTAGCTATGGCTTTGACCTTTGAAGGCTACAGTCTTAAGATTTCAATGGTGTTGATCATGACTTTAATTTTGAGATAAGTTCATCAAAGGTCAAGCCACTGAGATATTCATAATTGATTTGACCATAAAATGTTTGTCCAAATAGATTTAATGTGAATGTTGGTCAAGACTATTATAAAATGACCCCTATTATATGTCTGTGGCGAAGAGGCCATTTATATGCCTCTGTTGTAAAACATGAAAAATCACTGAGCACTTGACTCTCAAAATAAGTATGTTAATTTGCAACTGTTAATTGAAGTTGAGGCGCCAGTATACGCCAGACACATTCTTTTGTTTCCTTTCAGGTCTGAAGACAACAGGTTTAAAAAAGGGCTATGTCGCATTGTAAAATACATGAGCTGTTCTATTTGATTACCTTAGGTTTGTAACTATGCAAATCATTTTCATCTTGAAATGTTGATTTATTCTGTTATATAAGTTGAATACAATTGCAGTATTTTAGATTGTTTATATTGAATAAACATTACTTAGTAAGTTGGTGTTTTCAGAATATTATGAGTGGTACCAGTAATAAAAATATGGTATTACCATTGCTAACATGAATCATCGTTGGTACAATTAGTTGAAAATCTACTCTAAAAAGATTTTATCGTACCATTTTTGTAATTGGCAAGAGAAAAACCATATGAACCAATTGTTAACCAATGGTGCCACCAGCCAACTGATCTTGATCCTAAATTTGATCCTTATTAAGTTAATAATAGTTTGGTCCAAAGAATATTGTAATTTGTGTTGTTGTTCATGTATTTTATCCCATTTTGCAAGTTCGCAATTAACTAAATTGGTTTAACAAAGGTGTCTTTCAAGTGAGACCCAATTGATTCAAGTTGAAATCACAAACTACTGTGTATGGGTCAGTAGCTTAATGTCATAAACAGATTTTTATTATAATAATCATTCTTGTTTTAGTTGCAGCATGCTATGGATACCAGAGACCATTGTTTAAAGTATCTGGTATGTCAGACACACCAACAAACCCATGCAGAGTTGATTTCAATGCAGATGCAGTGGATATTTCTGTACAGGTGAACTGTCATTTGTTTTTATCCTATGCATATAATAGTTTTTTGTTCTTTTCACTATTTAGTTTAATATTATGACCTCTAATCCAAAGAAAAACAGGGGAGGTTTATAATATTTACAGTGTCTGTCTGGTGTTTGGCTGTACATCCACACCTTGTGTTTGTTTTTATAGATAGATTTAAATTATTTACATAAATGTGAAGCACATTGAGATGTTGTGTTGTGCTCAAGCACAGAGGTCAAAGCCACACTTGGACTAGAAAAGTAAATTTTTCATGAAAGTGCATTGATGTTTATGTACGTTCAACAATTCTATCGTTTAAGGATGGATTTAAAATAACTATGCAGAATTATATTACACATGCAAGGCCAGATAAGCTCAATTTGAATGTCACACTTGTACATATAATGTATAGTAATTTTGAAAAAAATCTTTATGGTAACTTTTTCTAAGTTTACAAAAATTTGCATTTATCATTCTGATTGATCATCCTTTTGTTATTTCATACCCTTACCAGGCAAAAGTTGATTTACATTTTGGATGGGACATGATACATGTATTACATTCAATATAATATATCATGATATTTCAGATTGAAGATGCAGAATGTGGCAGTGTTGATAGTGGTAAAATATCAGAAGTTACTGGGACATTCTATAAAATGGAGAAGGATAGTGATTATAAGATAAATCTTGACAACAACCACAAAATAATCAATTCTGATACATCTCCAATGACATGGTCCAAGCTATTAGAATCTGATGTGTCTATATATGCTGTTGCTGTTTCACTGCAACTGACGCAAGATGAGTTTAAAATCGTGGTAAGTACAGAAACAAAAGAACTAAAATTATTCAAACATTAATACATGTGTTGTAAGTAATTTACTAAGGATCTGGGATTGATGAAGCCATTCTTTTGGACTTGACAAGACTTAAATCAAGATCAATTTTGCATTTACTGTGTATAATAAGCTTCTATGTTAGACTTTTTCATTTAACCATATTAATTTGTATCTTATCCTATTTTTAGCTCATATATGAACTTACCATTGACTGGTGACTGGTGATTGGGTACTGTAATAAATCTGCTAGTGTGCAACTCGTTCATTTCTCATGGGATTACAAAGTTTCATAGAGCTGTAGTCGTACAGCTTTAACCTCCCATTTCTTGAAGAAAAAGGGGAATACTGTTGAAGTTGTCATGATCAACTCTTTTGCATCCATTTTGGTTAAGTTTTCGTTTGTGGTCATGAAATACATTACTAAATTAGCTATATAATTGAAACTTAATAATTATGTCAGTGATTTTTTTGGGCTGTGAAAAAAGTTTAAAAAAATCGCTGTATGTGGATGCTCCATGATGGGTTCTACCTGACATTTTTAGCTCAGCTTTTTTGGAAGGAAAAGAAAACAAAGAGTTATTAAATGGTCATGTGTTATAGTCATGTTGGTGTTGCTGTTGTCTGGCATGTTGCCATTGCTGTCCGCAAACTTTAACATTTATAAATAGGGCATTTTCTATGTGAGTCCGCCAGTCTGGCCCACAGTTGAATTTATTTTGCGCCGGCAGTCTTTTCATAGGCCTAGGGTCAATGGCGCCCTCTAGATTGAACATTGCATGTGTTATATGTCTGGAATGGCAGATACTTTGTTGCCAAAAATGAAAGAAAATGACAAAATTTGAATGCAAAAGTTTATAGAAATGAATATTTAACGAAAGAAATATATTATGTTGTTTTTCTCACAAAAATTGTTAACTGCAATAATTTATCACCATACAGTGTCAAATCACATCCGACCTCAAAATTTTTTTGCTATGCACTGATTTGTCACCTCTAATCATGTGTGCCCATCTCATTTGACAACTGAGGAGTGTATGACGTAATTAAATTATACCTTACGTAAATATACATTTTGCATACAGTATTAGTAATAGAAAGAGCATCGAAACACAAGGCTATCTGATTTGTACGAGGGGGCGTAGCCCCTAAGTGTAAATCAGATTGCCGAGTGGTTTGATGTTCTTTCTCTTTTATATTAAAGTCAAACATAAAAACACGTTCCCTAATGCCACAATATGAAACCCCACAAAAAAGTAACCAATAAACGAGCATCTGAATATGATATTTCCATTGCTATCCCTTTCTCTGTCGTCACAATATGTAAACCCCGGACAAAATGAACCAATCAATGGGCTTGCTCTGGAGTGCGGGTAACTAATACCTGCACTCCAGTTAACGCACTGTGCATGTATATGTATACGATTTAACTCTGTCACATTTTCAACAGAAAGGTCCCCAAACTATGATACAATATATTGTAATACATTGGTAATATTTGTATGTAGGGTTATCTTATTGTTGGATGTGGAAGTTCGAGTGAAAATTACGCTGAAGATCCATGTCGTAATGTACACACCAACTTCAGGGATCTAGCTGGTGTAGAGACAAACATTTGGGAACTTAAGTAAGTTATTTCTTTCATACTAAATTTTTTTAATTTCTGTGATATCTTTGTCTGGCTGTATAAGGATTTTACTGGTTTAAAACTTGGCGGTCAAATTCTATCACCAGCGGAAATTTATATGGAGGTCAGTGGTAAATACCCATAGTGAGGTTTACTCAGTAATACACCACTTTAGCGGAATCATTGTTTTCAGCGTGGTAGATACAGATATCCTCCCCGGTTAATTATTGGGCACTTCTCGAGATTGTTTGACCTTTGTTTGATTTTTGTAATGTTGTGAAAAAATATTGCAATGATAATGTTTCCATATTGTTACTATTTCATTACGTTTAATGTCATGATGAATCAAATAGTGTTAGAATATTTTATAAAAAACAAAAAATTTACTAATTTTGAACAAAAGTCAATCAACATGCTAATTTAATTAACTTTGATAAAAAAAAACAGCTCGATTTGTTACAAACGTTATCATCATTATGGAAGCGATTTTGAGCGATTATCGTTTTAGGTTTGTGTTTTTCACATGTCTGCAGGGAACAAAGAAATGATTATTAGTCGAGATAAACAAAGGATAATTAGTGTGAAAATAACTGTTGGGGCTAAAATTGCACTTCGAGATACTGAAAATATCTAAGTAAAAATATTGAGATAAACAAATATATCCAGTATAGATAAAGAAGGAAGAAAATCTGGACTTTCAAAATTTCATAGAGATAACGAGAATAGCGATGTCGAGATAACGATAGTTGACTGTATTAAGTATCAAACCACAAAACAATTATTTATGGATGTTGTTCATAAATGTGAGATACATGATTCAATGTGACATATCTATATATAGATATAGATAATTATCAGTATGATTTTATTTTATATGACCGAAAGAATTTCGGGCATATTATGTTATAACCCCTGGCGTCCGTCCTTAACTTCCGTCCGTCCATTAGCAATTTGGTTTCTGGAGCATAACTTAAGTTCCATTTGGCCCACAATATTCAAACTTCATAGGATGATTGTCCATATTGGGTAGAAGACCCCTATTGATTTTTGGGTCACAAGGTCAAAGGTCAAGGTCACTATTACCTTAAAACTGAAAACAGTTTCTGGAGCATAACTTAAGTTCCATTTGGCCCACAGTGTTCAAACTTCATAGGATGATTGTCCATATTGGGTAGAAGACCCCTTTTGATTTTGGGGTCACAAGGTCAAAGGTCAAGGTCACTATTACCTTTAAACTGAAAACAGTTTCCGGGGCATAACTTAAGTTCCATTTGGCCTACAATATTCAAACTTCATAGGATGATTGTCCATATTGGGTAAAAGACCCCTATTGATTTTTGGGTCACAAGGTCAAAGGTCAAGATCACTATTACCTTAAAACTGAAAACAGTTTCTGGAGCATAACTGGAGTTTCATTTGGCCCACAGTGTTCAAACTTCATAGGATAATTGTCCATATTGGGTAGAAGACCTCTATTGATTTTGGGGTCATAAGGTCAAAGGTCAAGGTCACTATTACCTTTAAACTGAAAACAGTTTCCGGGCATAACTTAAGTTCCATTTGGCCTACAATATTCAAAATTCATAGGATGATTGTCCATATTGGGTAGAAGACCCCTATTGATTTTGGGGTCACAAGGTCAAAGGTCTTTTACCTTAAAACTGAAAACAGTTTCCGGAACATAACTTAAGTTCCATTTGGCCCACAATATTCAAACTTCATAGGAGGATTGTTATTTGAAGGAGGTAATACTCTATTTAATTCCCATGTCTTACAAATGCTTCATCTTTCACTTTAAAAAAAAATCACTTTTGGGCATGTAATGCTCCGCCTAGGCTCTTGTTATAGAATATTAAGATTGATTTACAAAAGTTGATTAATATATTTCAGAAAATGTGATGGCTTCATGGCTTCATATAAAGGTAAATGTATTTTTCTTCCGTGAATAATAATATTATCAAAGAAAGACATTGTCAAAGGTGACTAGGGCTTTTTTTTATCCCATTTTAAATTTTATGCTAAATATCAATTTGGCCAACTTCGAAGTCCATTTTGCTACTAGTGCTTTTGTGTCCAATGGACACATTTCTAAATAAATCAGGGCTTTATTTATCAAAGGTACACATTTGGTTTCCCGATCTTCCATGTCGGCCTCTAACAAAAACATTATACACAATATATACAACTACAGCATCATTAATGTGATACATTATGTATATTGTCAGAACAAGAAATGCATGTTTATATTTACAATCCCTTCATAGCATATTTCTTGCCAGTACATCAAAAATTTACATATTAGATAAAATGAAACAGGAAATACTAAATTATAGGTGGTAAATCGATAAATGAGATTAAAATTTTTATTTCTTCATTTAAATTATTAATTTAAAGATGTGGAAGACCATGTCTAGATAAGTTAAGGTAAAAAAAAAACTGGACAGAATAAACAACAGAACTTTTTTTTACTTCTAACAAGTTTGGTAGACATTTGTACTTCTGAGTCATAACTAAAATCTGATGGCTGAATGTACTTGATGATAAAATAGTCAATTAAACCATCAAATGTAGAATATGTTGGCACATGTACATATTTATAATTTGAGGACCATTATAATATTGGCAACTCTGCATACAATGTGCAGTCAAAATATTTGCGTTATATTTATTACAGCAACATCAAGGAAAGAGTATACCATAAATGGAGGCACAAATAAAGATGATGTATATTCAGAGGACAATCGGCTTAATGTGAATCTTCCAGTTGTGTTTCAAATAAAGGTAAGGTCTTATTGTTATACAGGTATATAGTTTAGTGATTAACACCCTTAGGGGCGTCCGTGGCCGAGTGGTTAAGGTCGTTGACTTCAAACCACTTGCCCCTAACCGCTGTGGGTTCGAATCCCAACAGGGACTTTGGATTCTTTCATGTGAGGAAGCTATCCAGCTAGCTTACGGAACGTCGGTGGTTCTACTCAGGTGCCCGTTCGTGCCTGAAATAATGCACGGAAGGGCACCTGAGGCCTTCCTCCACCAGTAAAGCTTGAATGTTGCGATATGACCTATACTGTGTCAATGTTACAAAAAAACAAAAAACAAACAAACCTGGCACACATGTTTAAGATACATATTTTTATGAAAAAGCCACCCATCAATTGGGGCAGTTTCCTGGAATAAACTAAAGGGTGTGATTCAGGAACATGTTTTATACAATAAATACAAAATGATTTTTATTCATACTCCTGGGTCTATTCTGTGAAGATAATCTCAATTGGAATATAGCATTAAATTTTTCTTTCTTGCAGAGCGAATCAAATGCCTTTATACGCCTTCATGAGAAAGAAATAGATAGAAATTCCAAAGCAGTGGAAATAGTTCTTGAAGATCAAAGTCAGACATCACGTATAGTGGAAAAGAATAATGCCAGAAAAAAGAATGAAGATACTTCAACAGTATGCAATTTGCTCACTACGTTTTAATGTGTAACGAAACCAAAAATGATTAGCCTTTGTCACCAGTATGGAGCCATTCCATACTGCTGTCTGTCCAGGCTATATACTGTTAGTTAACTGACTTTAATCTTCATCTTGATGTACTATTTTTTCAGAATAGTGCCGTTAGCTGGACAAATTAAGAAATTCAGCATGTTAAAGGTACATTATGCCTCAGAGTCGTATAAATCTTTCCTTAAAGATACAGGGTTTCTACTAGGAGTTTTTATTTAAGAGTCCCAGGGACTTGTGCTTCTAAAATATGAGGGTCCCAGAGAAAAATATGAGGGTCCTTATCATTTATTACTTTAAAGTAAGGTATTACTTGTATATATTGTCTCGGTTTAATTCTTTACATTTATATACATTGTTCAACTACATATGCATTTCCATTGATCTTGTTAAATAAATCTATAGACTCTTGAACTATTCTGGAAGTTCAAACATCCATTTTCCGAGGCAAATGGATTACATTTTTTGTTTGAGACGCAATGGTTGCATTTCATACCCGTGGTCTTCTCGTTTTGGATGAGCCACGGGTAAGTACTTACCCACTTTTCATTAAAACTATGTGATTTCTTTGGGGGAGCAGCCGACATGTTTTATGATTTATTTGCATAGCAACGCATAGACTGGGACTCTTTTTTAAGGTCGACTAAATTCTAGTTTGCGACGTTTTATTCCGTATTAAATTGTAATTAATTGAAAGAAAGATAACTGCTGTATTTAATATTAGAACCCGTCTACCAAATTATGTCATTTCCTTTAAAGAAGGGGAAGGAATTTCCAAAAGACATTTACGGAGGAAAATTTAATTTGCGTCCCCTTGGACGCAGACTTAGAGTAATTGAGGGTCCTAGGTTTAAAGTAACCTGGTTACTATTTTTGTGTCAAGGACGCAGGAAATGTGCTTAAATAGAAACCCTGAAGATATCAGAAACGGCTAACATGAGTTATGTTATGTTTAAATAATGGTTTTACAGCATGTTAAATGCATATCATTTGAAGAAACAACGTTGAATGTGATATTATTTGTCTTAAAAGCAGTAAAATGTAAACAAAGAAGTAATTTGAATTCCATACAAAATACTTAACAGGGCTCGACATTAACGGTTGTCCGACTGCCCGGGACAACTAAAAGTTTGGTCCGGGCAAGTTATTTTGAAAAGCACTTGTCCGACAGGGCAAGTGAAAATAAAAAGCATCATTGACAAAATGCATGTACAAAATGAATAGAAATAACATCTTTTCATTTATAAACATCTTTAAAACAAAAATACACCATGAATTATTATCAATAATGTGAATATACTACGGTCATGTACATTTGTTGATATAGGAAACGGAAGCAAAAATATGAGCATGCGCCGCGGTAAGGTAATTCTCTGTTCTAATAATAGACTATATCTAATTTTGTACAAGGTAATTCCCGGGTTATGCTGTTGTTTAAATTTTGATGTTTGCATGTAAAGATATCATTGAAAATATGTAGATAATCATATTGATCTTTAAATATAATTGTTAAATAAAGTTTTTGCATTAAAAATGATTTATTGTTTAATCTAATATAACAACATTATGAACTTAGTAAACGAAGACTCGTTTACGGCTGTTGACTTGATGATTGAACGGGGAATTTCCTTACCGCGGCGCATGCTCATATTTTTCCTTCCGTTTCCTATATCAACAAATGTACATGACCGTAGTATATTCACATTGAATAAACAGATGAACCGATGTTTTAGAAAAACTACTAAATACAAAAAATATTTATGAGCTTGTTTGTTTTTCTGATTTATACATTTTTACCATTTTTAGGTCAGGACAAGTAAGTCTTAGGTCACGGGCAAGTAGTTTTAAAAACTACTTGCCCGACAGGACAACCTGATTCAAAAGTTAATGTCTAGGCCTGCTTAATTACTATATCTGTACTCATTGTCAAAAAAGGCCCAGAAGCAACAGATGGTTGCGATATTTGCCAATGAGTAAATATTTTGAAAAAAATAAAAGGGACGATGAAAACAAAAAGCTTTTGGGAATTAAAAATAAAGCCATTTCTTGCTGAAAATGGGCCTTAAAGGGTTAAGTCAGTACAAAACCGAATATTTAGTAGGTAAATGTAATCAAGGATTACCGGAGTGGGGGTGGGGGGGTTACTTAAAAACATGATAACTGAGAATTGATACACTATGGTTATTAAGTTACTAAAATAATAAGAAATCAACATGTAAAATTATCATATATACTTACACTATATTTTTCTAGTCAAGTATATGAATTTCATGATAATAGAATTGAACATACTTGTATGAAATCTGTGAGACTTATTGTATGAACTTCTAATATGCAGTGACTTTCATGAACTGTATGCTCTTAAAATAGGGATCCTGAAATTTAAGCAAAAAGGATTGTTCGTTTCAACATAGACATTCATTTTTTTCCCAGATGATAATACATATACATGAACATATATAAATGGTCATACATGCTAAAATTTTGATGATTAAATATGGAATTTTCAAAAAATTTGTTTATTGAAATAATATAATTAAAAACATAATTTTGGTCTTTATTATTTGAATGCAGAAAAAAACCACTGACATAAAGTTTGCAGTTATCAAGATATTTAAAAATTATAAAAGATATTTTTTTAGAATTTATTTTTTGTAAATAATCTCAAAAATATGAAAATTTTTTGTTTATATTTTGTTTTAAATTTGGTATAGGGAGATATTTTGTCATCAGAAGAGTTTCGATTCTTTTGGATAAGCTTTTATGGAAGAGAGGTTCGTGTTGGTAAAAGTTGGCTACCATTTAATGAGCAAATATTAAAACTTGATGGAATTACCGGTAATTATAATATCAACTACTTGTCATTCGGAAATGGTGAGGGCTCTATTGGAACATGGAGGTTTGATATTGGTAATTAATTAATTCTTTTTTTTTCTACCATTCTCTTCTCTTTTTTATTTAAAGAGCTTGTCCATTTGAGTTTGTATGGTGAATTAATTATTATCTTGTGTTGCGACTAAATTTTGTGACTAACATTAAGGCTTTAACAGAGGATTACATTAGGTTCAGGGGTCAACATTTAAAGGAATACCCAGGAAAAGTTATTTTGATGCCTGTTTTATATCAATATTTATATATGTATTTTAAAAAAAAGATACCATAAAGTTTTTCTGTTAAAAATAACCTTGTAACCGAGAAATTCAAGTTTTAAAGCAAAATTTTTGTTATTTTGTTTTTATGCAGCCAATAACACAAACCTGACAGTGTCGCCAATGCTTTGTAGAATTTGGTTATTTAGTGTTTTACATATTGTTATAAAACTTTTAATATTATTGTTTGAACACAGATAATTTGTAAATTTACTATTTATTGTGTACTTTTTCTGATATTAATTTTTTTTCATTTCTTTTTTGCTTTTCCTTTAACTACAAGCATAAAGCTCTACTTATGAACTGTTTATAAATGGTTTCATACTTGGGTCAAAGAAGCTAAATAGATTTTCATAGCAAAGTCTTTCAAAATCTTCTTCTTAAAAGCGCATGGTCTAGAGCTTATAAATTTAATGTGTATCATTTTTAAATGAAACTAGCATGTTTGTTCAAGTCATGCCTGGGTCAAAATTGACCTTGCCAGGCTGTCATTTCATAATCATTAAGAATAGTCTCATATAGGAAAGCATGTAATAATCTTCTTCTTCCAAACCCATATGCCTAAAGCAAAGATATTGAGTGTTTAGCATTATAAAGTGGACCTCAGCTATTAGTTTGTGCAATTCATTTTATTTTTACAAAGGTTCACTTGATTTTTACATAGAGCTTTACAAGAAAAACTGTAGAAAATGGTCTCTTTTATTTGCAAGTCATTGTTCAAAGATCTTTGATTTGTAGCATTGTGAAGACCTGGAGTAGTTAGTTTCTTCAAATTATTAACATGGGGTCAAAATTGGCCTGCTCTCGGGTTCTTTTGATTTCAAATTGACCTATTTAGAAAGAAACTTCTAGGTGTTTTTTTTTAAAGCTAAGAAATTTAATGAGTGGCATTGCTTAGTTAACTCCTCTTTATTTTACTTTAAGGCATTGAATATAAGGTGACTGATTGATATAATTAATCTGCTTTATGATAGGTATATGTAATATATATTCTAACACACTTCACACTATTCCCCTATTAAACAGATAAGGCTGTCACGTGCATTATTACACAATTTATGCATGGCGTGTAAGCATTTGTTTTTTCTGCTGAGGATATACATGTATTGTGTAATAATGCACAACACAAAAACGAATGCTTACATGCCATATGATGTCAAATATGACATCAATAAAACAATTGATGCCAAGAAAAATTACTTTGATGCTCAATGTAGCATTATTTTTATCAATTCTCAATTCTCTTTTTTATTAGCATGTTAAAATGGAAATTATCAAATAGATATTAATTTTTCTTTCATTGTAATATAATTATGCATTGTTTATCATTCAAATGCATTGTAAATAATTACTCTGGCCTATCAGCCTTTGTTATATTCTTGCGCATTTGAACTTGAACCATGCATCATTCTACAACAATTCCTAAATATAATTTAATGTGTAATGTTAAATCATGACACTCTTGTTAAATATAAGACAAATTTGTGTTATTTTTTTCAGGTTTGTGTGATATTCAATCGGAAAATGGAGGTTTGTGATTTACTCAAGATTGTTAATGGTTTTTTGTTTTTTTTTTTCAAATTTTTATGCCACCTTATGTGACTTGTCTGTCCTTTCCATTGACACACTGTCTTGCTATCATGCTATTCCATCTGTAGACAGACAAAATGATGGAATCCAGAGACATCTTTGTTCCTTATTTATGTGTCCTTAACTAGAAATTTTGTTCAAGTTTCTCGGTTTAAAAAAGTGCTGAGCAGCCACAACTATATGTAAGCCTAACTATATAGCCAATTTTAACTCACCTTAGCACAAGTGCTCAGAGGTGAACTTTTGTGATGGCAGTGTGTCCATCATTCATCCCATATATAATTTCTCAACAACAACAACTCCTTGTAAACCACTGGGTGAATTTAAACCAAAATTTCCATTGAGTATATATGTGTAAATGAGACTGTCTACAAAAGTTTTATAAAATTTGATCTTGAAGTTATCTTTATTTGGGCACTAATTTTATGCAACAATAAAATAATAATTTTGATTACATATTTCAAAAGCCAATTAAAAAGTTATATTTCATGTTGTTTTAATTTCTAATTTTCTGAATTATATTTATGAATTTGCATAATAAAATTACACTAGACATTAATTGCAAAAGAAATCAAAATTTGACTTAAACAAAGGGGTTGAAAAGAAAATACAAAAGGATTTAAACAAAGTCATTGTTCAAACACATCATAATGATCACTAAATTGTAAAAAAAACTTTTAAAAACCAGAATCCTCTGAAAACCAGACTTTTGGTCACATGCAGACAGGGTCCGGTTTTCAGGGTTTTTCTTGGAGGTAAAAGTGACCTATGGCTACATTTCTAGTTCCTATTGAATTTTCAGGGGGCCATAAATCTTGAAGTGTTTTAGGTATTTACATTAAAATGTCATAAAATAGTGATACCATGCTTAGGAACAGAAACTCTACTTTAGAATATAATATTTATCCTCTAAGGTACATAATACATGTATCTTTCAGTGCAGGATATCAATTCAACTTTGCTTGTTTTTATAGACGTTGTATTACTTAACAGAAAAAAACAAACAATTTAAATATCTTTGTGTGAAGAACTAAGATATCTGGCATATATAACATTTCCCAGCAGATTTTTACAAATATAATAATAATTATTTTATAAAGTATGCAGCTGGGGTTATAAAAAGACACGTCCATTTTGATATAATTTCTTACTTTTGCATTTAAGAATTATGATGTTTTCTAGGAATGAATCTTAAGTGAGTGATCCAGGGTCACCATGGCTCTATTGTCAATTCATTGAAAAGTGATGATCATTTCAACCTTCAACATAACTATAGGCCAATAAAATTGTCCTGTGAATTTAATATGTGTAGAAATTTAGTTTACTATACATTATCAATATTCACTTTTCCTATAAATTGCTTTATTATTTTGATTTATTTGCACATCAAAGGTTTATATTATACTTTTCTATTCACAGCATGCCCAAAACCTGAAGACATTTCATATGCTACGATGTCCTATACTGGAACTAAAGTTGGTGATACATTGACCTACACTTGTAACATTGGTTATATTGTTCACAGTGGTGACTTGTCTCAAACTTGCACTGATACAGCAGAATGGTCAGGAACTAAGCCAGAATGTGGAGGTAAATTTATGAAGTTTGTTGCTTGAAAACTTTCTTTAAAAAAAAACAAAAAACAGCTTATTAATTGACCAATTTGTTTTTGGTCATTAACTTCAATACTAACAAAAGTATATTGTTATAACTTTTAAAGTTCTTGATGTATGGTAAAAAATGTGGCCCATGTGTTTACATGGGGCTAGAGGGTGTGTCATGAGCAGCACCCAGGTCTAGGGTTGTTCTTATATAATGGTAAATACATCACATGGCAGGGATATATCTGCCCTACAAACAGTTTATAAATGTGTAGAATATCAAGACATTGTGCTGTGTGCAAGAACTAGGTCTTTAGCTCAAAGGCCAAGGTCACACTTGCTTCAAAACTTGAAAAGTTTCATTACAATGCAATGATACTTGGTGAAATAATTGGGCTCTTTGAGGATTAAGAAAGTATTTGTTAATGTTTCTTTATTCATGTAACACTCTTTCATATTTACAATTGCCTTTGTTGTCTGTCAAATGTCATGCTTCTTTTATTGAGACCTGCTTGTGGGTCATTTGTCTGTTTCAAACAACAGTTCTTGTTTCATAAAGATTTTGTTAATGATCAGTAATAGTCCAGTCAGTCTGTAAATCGACCTCAAACAAATTGCAACAGAAAATATTTTACCTGGTATAGAAAGTATATGGAATAACATGAATCATATCAAAAGTCTAGCAAAATCTAAGTTGCGCAACATTGAAAAAAAACGGGTTTTTATCGCGTTATTTTTTGTGATTTTTTTCTGACGACAACGGTCTTCCATAGGCGAACAAAGCGTCTTCGATACTCAGAATAGCGACTGCATAATGGCGACAACAACAACAAAATAAGTGTAAACAAAATAAATGTCAGTAAAGTACACTGTAAAGTGGGTTGGTATATTTTCCTTAAAATATGACAGATCATAATAGGAATTATTAATGTGGGGTCGTAAGTTTATTATGAGTATTTGTTGAAGATTATTACTTGTTTTACCAGTTCTTTATCCGTTGAAGGTCAACAGGTGTTTCAAGTGATCTGTATTATACTTTTCATGGAAAACAGTTTAATTTATATAAATTACAACTCTGATTAACTCCTGTCTTAGTAAACATTCAAAAACGGCCTAAAAATGTGTATTTATAACAAGTTAATTTCGACAGTATTTTAAACTATGGAACGCCATTATCACGTTAATTATGACGAATTACGTTAAATAAAGTCTGAATACTTTAATCATGTTTTATTGTTAAATTTGAATTCAAAGTTGGGTTTTTTTTGTTGTATTTTTTAATAGTTTTTTAAAATTGTTTTACATATATAATGTATGTAATCAGTAATGTTATTATTATTTCAGGGGTACCGCTTTGAGGTAGTCTTCATCGATGTATGCTTGATTTTGAAAATAAAAAAAAATCCAGTAAACTATATGTACACTAAATGAGTAAGTTTGCTTTCTTGTGCTTACATTTGTAATATTTTTACATATATAACACAAATATCAAACATTATCTTTTACTAGTAAGTTTAAGTGAATATTAAACATGGAGGAAATAGAGTCGTATGCATAATTCAATATATCTGAAATTATTTTCAGTTTTTAATAGACATAGAAGATATTTATACATGAAAAGGTGACATGAAAAAATTATCAATAAACAAACGTGATTTCTAGTTATGGTTCATGATTGGCGACGTGTATGAGTTCAAGGTAAACATGCACAGTTGATCCATAATTTAAAAGAAAATCTTTTATGCATACAATAGCACCTGCGCGAATTTGAAAAAGTGCATTACGTGTATAAGATTAATTCACAGCGATATATTAGTATTTCTATCGGAATGCACACCAAAGTTGACTATAGTATAATTTTATCACTTTTAAAATCAAAATTTAAGCAAATACATGTAACAATAAAAACATATGTGTATTCTATAGAACCTTATTTCACGTAAATATGAAAATAAGATTCTAATCCTTTCAAACTTGAAGTAATTTCTATGTTACAGATTTCATTAACACACCAGAGCCAATGGGTATGCCCGATCATGTGTTCTCAGGACACTGTGATGTATACGAGTTAAAGGTAAAGATGCATAGTTGAGACATTTCTTTCACAAAATCACTTTAATGATATTTTTCATATAAGCAAACTTTTAAAGTGTGTCATAAGTTCCATATAGTAACATATCAGTACAAATATTTTTGAATGCATGCACGGATGGGCATTAGAAATGCTTAAAATTGAAAGGTGACATTTTAAAACTTTATCTTTACGTTACTTCCAAACACTGTAACTAGTAGGTATTTTATATTTATAATTTTAGATTAAAACCTTAGAAAATAATAATAATATCTGTCATATGTTGCGGTTCGGATCGGAATATCTGTCCCGAGGTGACCCGTCCATTGGGCGGTAACGACGCTTGCATATTTTACGATATAACATTATATTTTGAATTCTCTATCTTAATTTTCAATGGGAATTTATGCCATTACAACCGAAACTACAACAGCGTATGAAATTACAACTTCATTCATAACGGTAAAATTACGTCATCCTAAAACCCCAGTCACACTAGAGTTTAAGATTACTTGCGACCACCGGCGACTTGTAAAACTGACGATCATCAGCGATTGTCTGCGACCAAAACCATTTTTGCACGTATAAATTTACTTCTGCGACTATCGTAAAACCAGTCATCATTGACAATCGCACGACAGGTCATAAGCAAAAGTACGATGGTCTCAAGATTGTGAGGGATTCATTACGACTACCCGTGACCTGTCATGCAATCACCTACAACTAGTCGTACGACCATCACACGATTACTAAAGACTACTCAAGATTATCAGTGACTAGTGGCAATTTGTAAAGACTGTCGTAAGATTGTCGCACTTCTGAACGACCATCGTGCGACAGCCTAAGACGCCTAAGACCTTATAAGATCACTAGCGACCTGTTTGATCGCAAGGAGGTTTTTGTGCAAGCTCAAAAACCTCTCTACGACTGTAATTGGTCGTGGGACCTAAATAAGATAGCCTGCGACTTTCAAAGATCACCGATGACCGTCGTAAGACGTTTTAAAGATTGTCCGCGACCAGAGGTCACTGGTGATCGTGAACTGGTCTTCACTGGTCGTAAGCTCTAATGTGACTGGGGCTTAAGCGGTGCATTGTACAGCACGCGACTCATCTGGCACCCCCTATGCCAGATGAAATTTCCGGCATGGGTAATACAAACGGAAACGCCAGTCTGATATGCAAGAAAAGTGTGTCATATCAGCAACTTTGATCAAATAAATACACCTAAAACATTTTAAGGAAAGCCTTTTAGGAAAAATACATCTTATAGTAACACGTACTGTTCTGGGATAACTGAAACAATACGTAATCAGCTACCAATAACCAGAATACAAGAATGCAAGGGATGATCCAGAAATACCCGTAATTTTAACAATAAATTCAATTTCAAAGTTCATATAACAAACACTTTATTACTGCGTAATATATCCTCTTTACAAGGAAACAAGAATATGATAATTAAACACAGTATGCCTACCATATAAGCAAACATAGGATTTGTCACATTATGCTAAAAAGGTTGATGTTCTATTGTTCTTATACATAGGGAATCCTCCCGATGCCATTCACTGTAAGTGTACTAACAACCTAAACCTATGACTATTGAACTGCTAATTGCTTTGATTGCTGTGATTCATACACATGATCATCTTAAAGTTGAAGGCATAAAATATATGATTCATTTAATTTAATTAGATAAAAAGTGCATGTAAAAGAAAACAAATAAAGTATGAAAAACAGCACATAATCGTCAATTAGAATTAATTTTTTTAAATCGCATTGAAATTGTGCAAGGCCGCATATGACAGCATATTTGTATTTTCCAATCGCCACAGCGACGGAGATCGTTAACTTTACGCGAATTCTTCTATGCCGCAAACGATATGTATTTATCTCTAAAATTACTCCAACAGTCTGGTAAAAAAACTTCTTTACCCCTCAAAAAGTTTTGTATGCATGACTAACAAAATACTTGTGTCGAATTTCCTTTATCATATTAGATGTTTCTATGGTAGGCTGTCTAAACAGTTGACAAATGTTTATGAAAGTGCCGTTTTCCGACGCCTTAATGAATTACACAATAATACAAACGACGTGAAATTTTAGCAGGCAAAGATTGGACATGATCCCTTTTTGTGTCGGGCACTTTGGTGTTTTATAAATTTCAACGAATGTCGTGTTCTTTGAGTTGCGCTGCTGTGGCGTATCCAGGGTTATTTAAGGCGGCCTGAGACGGTTCTGGATGTTTATAATCAATTATATTTGGCAATTAAATGGAAGAAACATCGATCTTTGCGTATTTATAAATTTAATGAAGAAAACATAAAAAAGTTATCAGAATTATAAACAAATTTTGGGTAATTCTGGATCAACCTCCATATACTGTAAAAAAACAGATTTTATAAATCTTACAATATCAGTTATTGTTTTTTTTGGGTTTTTTTTTTTTTCAAGATGAACTCCTGTCGGATTTGTTAACGGCTGTTTGATGATCATACAAAAACAGTTAAAGGCAACGAAAAGGAATGCAAGGGAATAAATGCTGCCAGTGAGAAATAAAATGACAGTTTAAAAGTTGAATCGGAATAATATATTCACATTGAGTGTAGAAAGATGTACTGTAACCCACATTACACTAAAACAGACACTAAGACAGAAAAAGAAAACACTGATGCCACCATTGAGATCAATGACTGATAAGTTTTCATACAAAAAAGATTGTTTATATTGTGGTCAATCTGTAATAAGTAAGGGTAAAACAAGGAAGTGTGATGTTTCGCCAGTAAGGACACTAGAACCTACTATTTTGAATATATGTATACAGAGGAATGACACTGTTTGTCTGATATAGTGAGAGCAAGGATAGAACAGGTTCACGACTTGCTTGTAGCCGATGCTCTTTACCATCAAACATGTTTATGCTCCTCTAATTTCAGAACTGGAAAAGATATACCAGAAGAATTTCAGGGGCTACCATCTAGTGATAAAAAGTGAAAGATTGGTCGAGCAGAAATTACAGAAGCGAGTGACGCTTTGTAAAAGTCATGACATTCTTGTGCTTATGCTTAGCGAAGATATTTTACAAATTAAAATTTGCATTTTTTTTTTTATTTTTTTTTTTTAAATTTTATGCTCAAATGTATCAAATATTTGAAATTGACCTTCCAAAAGGTCAATGTCACCTCTTTTGACCCAATGTCATGATGTTATATAATGACTCAGAACAGAAAAAAATACAACAGATGTGCTTGAAAGTATTCAAGTTAATATAAAACTCAATATTATTATCATAGACAATATAGATTTCCTTAATGTTTCTTTTTTTGTATAAAATTACCCCACCCACTAGCTGTACAATGTTAATATAAATATTTCAATATATGCATTAAATATTGATGGAATGTAAATTAAATTTATAAAACGTTGAAACTTGATTTCAAATGTACGTAAACCATTATGTATTTTCTGTTTAATATCATATAAGATAGAGCTTTCAATAAATTGATCTACAGCAATGTAAAAATATAATATTACCCCACCCACTTAAGTTAATTAATAAATTTTAGAAAGGTAAAAGTAGTTTCTTTAAACAAAAACAACTTTTTGATTACTTTATGTTACTATAGGGATAGATTAAGCTATATTTTTATGCATATTATATATAAAACTGATTGGAAAGTTGTATGTGTGTAATACATTGAGTTCAAATTAAAAAAAATAAATACAATGATACCCATATATTTGATCTCAATTTTTGAAAACATTCTCCAATTTAGATTTTTCTAGACTTTTGATATGTTATACAATATAGGTATGGGGTTTCAAAACACTCAAAATATTTTCTGTTGCAATTTGTTTGAGGTTTGGCTCTATTTTGAGCTAGAATGATTGGACTATAACTTCAACTGAAACTTGATTATGTTGATGCATTTTGATGAGTGCTGCACGCCTATTTTCTGATTATTATGTTAATTGTTTGGTCTGAAAGATCAAGAGAGAAGGGGCGTAATTATATATATGAGTTTGACATTTCTTGTTCAAACTATCTCTTTTAAAAAATCTGCAGATTACAATCCAGCTGTGAAAAAGTGGAAGGCCCTTCTCAGACAGCTTTTGTTTTTTGTAGGACTTTTGAGTTTAAGTATTTTTCATTGCATTAGTAGATAAAAGCAGCTTTATTAAAATATCTAACCTACATCTGTCGCATTGCAATTTACTGTCACCATTGAAAAGTATGAACATATTTTGACATTATGTATGGATAATATGTTGTTGTTGTTTGTTTTTTGTCTAGTGTTTAAAGTGTATATCAGGTAATATTTAAAACTTTTTATACAATCCACTTTAAAAAATGGGTGTTAACTATAAAAGGGTTGATCTATATGTCTGTCCATGTGTCTGTCTGTATGCTACCTCTCTTTTGTCTGACCAATTACTTTGTGGATAAGTCAAAACTAGTAGATAAACCATAGTGATTTTGAGGTCAAAAGGTCAATGGTAAAGATCACTGTCAGTGTAGCCTTGACCTTGGCTACTAAATGCTTGAGAAAGCTTTGGCCTCAGTGGTCCTTATTTATTGTGAAGGTTGGTCATGACTAGTAGATGACCCCAATTGATTTTGAGGTCATCATTTTTGCGGTCATTAGGTTTAGGTCACAGTGAAGCAGAAATGTTTGTCTCATTAAGAACAATAATTTCATCACTTATAGATTTGTGATACTTGTTTATTATAATAATATTATTATATAGTATTTTACTTTCATTTAGGGTGTGGAGCTCAAAACAGATTTAAATTCCAAAAAAAATGTATATTTGTCAATCCGAGCCATGTTCTTATAACATATATAAAAAAAACACTTAATATAAGGCGTTTGGAAAAAATTTCATAGTCTATAATAATACAAAAGATAAAAATGTTCGCTGGAAAAAATCTGCACATCTACCCTCAAAATCACCATGTATTTTTATTCCAGTTCCAATGTTTTCACATAATCCTTTGTCCATCAACACAGAAGATATTATTCTCCACAAAGATGGTCAATTTTAAACTTCAACATCAATATAAAAAAAACACTACAGGCAAAGTAAACATCAAATTTATTGCCAATTATACTCCATTTACAAATTTTTCAAGAAATTCAAAATTGGCTCCCAATTTTGCCATATTCAAATGCGCCGCATTTGGAAAGTGAGAACCAGTCTGGCTGTAGTGGGAGTTATTCAGTAAAATTGGTTCCCATATTTAAAGCACATAACGATAATCTTTTAAGAAATATGCCTAGATAGGCAGATATTTGAATGTGACAGCAAATGGAATTGGAGCATCAGTGTCCTATGAACACATTTGTTGATTGTTCCATTGTTTAATTTTTTTTCTATGATTTATAGTTTTGTGATTGCATAAAATAAATGTTTAAGTATCAACAGACTTAAATGCTGGCTACTCAATTTAAATTTTGAAATAAAGGACAAGTCTTACATGTAAGTATAGAGATGTGGGAATGTTAAAAAATAAGACAGAAAACAACTTTCATATGGTATATGACTTGTTCATTTTGTGCAGCAAATGAAAATTGCCAAAATTATCAATTACAAATGAATAACAGTAAATGTTAAATGCAAAGTCTGTTAAAACTGATAAATTTCAAAGAATGCTTTTATAGAAATTAAAGGCTGTACAATTGTGGGGAGAATGTAAGATAACAAAATTTTTGAACATGGAGAAAGTTGGGTTACAGTGAACCAAATTGAGATTTTTCCAAACACATTTTCATTTCGATTTCATCCATATCTGTATGTAATTTTAATCTGAGAAAGAAATAAAGACAGTCTCAATATTATGAATAAAAAGTTTGTGAGACAATTCATTTGTTTTTACAGTAGAAGTTAAGGTATACACTAAAAATGTAAACAAGTGATATAAGCTTGAAAATGTATGTTCTTATCCAAATCTATATTCCCTGATACCCGGTAGTCAAAAGTCCCAAATCTTAGACCATTTTTCTACATTCTCTTTAATTCCCTTAAGGCAACTTTTAGATTATTTATACTATAAGACTTATAGATAATAGCACAGCCTGTCTATTTGTACTTCAGTACTTTGATTTTTGCAAGGTTTTAATTACATGTATTGATATTATAATTATTATATGTTCAAAGTTATTATAATTTTATTGTTTCTCCTTTATATTTGAAGTTATTTGTTATGAAATAAAAACTTGTGCTTGAAAGTGTAAAATGGCTTAAATTCATACCTGAGATGAAATTTTCATTAAGTTAAAAAAAAATAGCCATGCATTGCTTAGAGTGCATTAATTAAGATATGTGAACATCATGAATAATTCAAATTAAAGAATAATAACTGATCCATTTTAGATTTTAGTGGTATAATTATGTTATTTATTACTTACCCTTTCTAATAACAAGGTTTCAAAGTATAAACTCGAAGAAATTAAACCAAAAATATTTTTGGTATTATCTATCTAATTGTTGTAAATGTTACATGCATCATAGTTGCAGTATACCATTTAATATGTTAATTTGAAATTTTACAGGCTTTTAAGCTCACCTGAGCTTGCTCAGGGTGAGCTTTTAGAATCGTTGAATGTCCATCGTCCGTCCACACTTGTTCGTTAACACTCTAGCGGTCACATTTTTGCCTCGATCATCATCAAACTTTGTCAGGATGCTTGTCTAGTTGATAGCTGGGATGAGTTTGAACATGGGTCATCTTGTATGAAAAATTAGGTCAGCGGAGCTAAATATAGAAAAATCTTATTAACACTCTAGCAGTCACATTTTTGCCTCAATCATCATCAAACTTGGTCAGGATGCTTGTCTAGGTGATAGCTCGGATAAGTTCGAACATGGGTCATCCCAGATGAAAAACTAGGTCACCGGAGCTAAAAATAGAAAAACCTTATTAACACTCTAGCGGTCACATTTTTGACTCAATCATCATCAAACTTGGTCAGGATGCTTGTCTAGGTGATAGCTCGAATGAATTTGAACATAGGTCATCTCGGATGAAAAACTAGGTCATAGGAGCTAAAAATAGAAAAATCTTGTTAACACTCTAGTGGCTACTGTTTTGATCCAAATATCCTTTAGATTGGTCTGAAAGTTTGTTTTGATGATTTCTAGGTCAAGTTTGAATATGGGTCACCTGGGGTCAAAAACTAGGTCACACTGCCCAAATATTGAAAAACCTTGTTAACATTCTAGTGGTCACATTTTTGACAAACTTGATCAGGATGCTTGTCTAGGTCATTGCTCGAATAATTTCGAACATAGGTCATCTCGAATGAAAAACTGGGTCACCTGAGTTAAAAATAGAAAAATCTTATTAACATTTTAGTGGCTTTTGTTTTGATTCAAATATCCTGTAAATTGGTCTAAAAGTTTGTTTTGATGATTTCTAGGTCAATTTTGAACATGGGTCATCTCAGATGAAAAACTAGGTCACACTGCCCAAATATGGAAAAACCTTGTTAACACTCTAGTGGTGGTCACATTTTTGACTCAATTATCATCAAATTTGGTCAGGATGCTTGCCTAGGTAATTGCTGAGATGAGTTTGAACATGGGTCATATCGGATGAAAAACTAGGTCCCTGGAGCTAAAAATAGAAAAATCTTGTTAACACTGTAGTGGCTACTGTTTTGATCCAAGTATCCTGGAAATTCGTCTGAAAGTTTGTTTTGATGATTTCTAGGTCAAGATCGAATATGGGTCACCTGGGTAAAAAACTAGGTCACACTGCTCAAATATGGATAATCCTTGTTAACACTCATGAAACTTGGTCAGAATGCTTGTCTAGGTAATTGTTCAGATGAGTTGGATGGGTCAGGTGAGCGATCTGGGGCCATCATGGCCCTCTTGTTTAAAGGTTTTTTTTTATCTTATCTTTAAATAAAACCTGCAATATTTAAAATTTAATCTTTGACTAACCTTCAGTAATTTGCCTTTTAGCTTTATATTATTATGAAACAGTGTATGTAACTGTATTTCTTTAAAAATCAAAGCACAGAAGGCGCTGAATTTGTTTGGGTCTCAGAATGTAAGAAAGGTGCAGGTTTTGAGATTATATGTTTAGTGGCACCAATGCTTTCCAGCGTTTTAATTGTAGTAAATTGGCTATAAGACTAATTGCAACACTGATATTCAATCCAATGTTTATTTGACTTTAACAATTAAAAAAAAATGAGTTACCTTTTTACTGGGATTTGAAACTCCAGACCTCTCGCTTCCTAAGCAAGCACCCGAAAACCCTTCAGCCACGGTTAAATTTATATGTGAACGGCCTGAAGAAAACCATATTATTCTAAATTAGGGCTTGTAACGACTTTTAACTGTTGTTTAACACAGATGTAAATAATCCTGAAGCTTAAGCATGTATATTTATAAAGAATCAAAGGGCTGCAAAGTTCTGTGATATTTTTCTGATCTTTGCAATCTAAATCGTACTGTATATCTGTATGCATTTTCCTGTATAAGTTTTATTTTTATGTATTATAATTCATTTTTGTAAGGGCACATACGGAATTCTGCAAAACTAAAGTTGCATCAAAAAATCATTTATGTACTTTTTTTACGACAGCCACACTTTATCCTTGTAAATCATGGCTACTTCCTTAACCCTTTACCACATATATACGCGAAACAACGCACTTTCGACCCCCCCCCCTTTTTGGGCCTCAAATAGTGAAACAGGCAGAGTCCCCCTCATTGCCAAGAAAATTTTGGACTTAAATAACGCTGAAAAGCCTTTGACTCTATCTCAATCCCTTGAGAAGTTGCAGCCCTTTGAAATAAATTTTGATGGAAAAAATCGAGGCAAAATAGTGATTTTTGGCAATTTTGAGATGTCCCCTCGTTGCCATGGTAGACAGGAAATTTGAGACTGAGCCATGTCGTTTACAAAGGCAATGCGTCCAGTCAACATTTGTGCCTGCCAAGTTGATTAGTATTGAAGCATTTTTCATATTAGTTTTCATGAGCAGTTTTTGAACTTGTAACAGGAGGCTTATCAGTTTGAACGGCCATTCTTTTCACAATATGAGCTCATGGGAAAAGGGTTTTGTTAACAAAAACACTTAAAAGAATTTAACAGAAAAAAAAAAAAAATTTTCTCGACTTGGATATCGAACTCGACCTCTCCATCGCAGTCTAACTGGCGAGCGCGCGTACCACTGTTACCACGGAGAAGTTATACACACAATGTCTGAATAATATTCAAGTCATTCTAAAATTTGAACTTGCATTGGCATATCCTTATTAATTTTCGAGGCATTTTGTTCAGGGTAAACCTGTTGTTTTAAAATTGAAGTAAATATTTCAGCGAAAATCCTCTCGCCCAAACAGTCTGACGTGTAGAATCTTATATATTCACTACTCGGTTTGTGTAGTATTTCGGTAATCTACATGGCTAAAAATAGTTTATTTTCATTTGATAAAAATCACTATTCATCCGCTTAATTTTGATTGTGATTTGTTGAGCAATTCTATAAAGCAACGCTAATTGTTTAACTTAAATTTGCGTTGTCATTTGATGGATACTTGTAACAACAAAATAAAATATTCTTTCTTTTAAATCGATAGTTTAAGCTGTTTTGAGAACTACTTGTTGTAGGTTTTATCGTAACTTCTGTGTCAGAGTTGAATGTCCCGCTTTGTATTTAGTTATTCGATTCAGAAAATACAATAAAACAAATTAGAAATCTTTGACCATTCGGGGAATTTACTATTGCTTGAAAATTTTGATGCGCCTGTCTTTGACCATCTTTATCTTCAGTTGATCTCCCTTGAACTTTTTCGGCTTTAGTGTACATACAAAAGGGAAGTAACCGCTTCAAAAAAGTGGACTACTTTCGGCGTTTCGTTTAAGAACATTAGACTCTGAAATTTCGCTACCATTATTTGTTTGGTCTGACGACCCAAACAAATAAAAACCAAAAAAAAACTGAAACCAACCATTTTATTCACAACAAAATGCATATTTTACTTTCAAAATTTCTCAGCGATGCATTACACATCATTAGATTTCCAAATGAGAAAGGTTATTTGGAGTGTCTTGCATTACCATGGAAATCATTTGTCTATATTACAGCTGCAGCAGTAAGTATAATTGTTTGGAAGAAAGAAATCCTATAGGAAATGCTAAATATGAAGTAGTCTGTGATCAGTGCACCTTTATGGAAGAAACAAGCTATTTGTGGACTGTCAAAGAATGCAAGGAAATGGATGCAACAGGCACGTGCAGTGAAGCTAAAGTTGATACAAGCAGTCTTAGGAAACTCTTTACACACTGACACACGGAAAAAATGAGAGCTATGCTAACCAACGAGACAGCGGAACCGTTACATGATCTTTTTCTGAATGTCATCGATTGTCAAGTGACGAAACTGGCCCCCTACTTCAAAATTCGTTAGGGCCAGTTTACACAGACGGTCGGTCCCAACTTCGGTCATGGTAATTTTATAATTTACTCGAGCTGCTATGATCGGTTGTCATGGTTGATTTTAATTTAGTTTTCTGTGTAGAAACGGCATCGGTGACAAAAGCAAAACTCAAACCGGGCAACTGGGTGTGATTAAATGCTGAAATACTTTTGTTTTTATCGTTTGTAAATTCGGAGCTAATCGGCGTAACTCTGATTAATCGGTGTTTGATAGCTAGTCATCACTGTTGTTAAACACTTTCCGTTCAGATATGGCCCGGGTGTGATTATGTTATCTTTGTCCGGATCCGGCGGATTCCGGTGATAAGAGCTTGCACATCTCGTGATATATGGTTCGCCGTCTACTGACGGCAGGTAAAATATGGGAATTTAAAGTCGTTTAAATCCACGTAATCTTCACTGACGAAACTTATCTCCCCAATAGAGTGATAGGTGAAAGACAGGTGACCATGTAGGTGATATCGTGGTGATAGATACGATGTCATCGGTCTACTCCATAATTTGGCTAAAAAAACTACCGATCAATCACCGATAGCTCTGTGTAACTGGGGTGTTAAAGTTGAAGAATGTTAAAAGTCCTGTCAAAATTTTGCACTAGAAATTACTTTAATTAAAATTGCATTAAATCTACTAAAATAACTGTTCCTTGTTTCCTGATTCATAAATATCAACTTTACATAATCTTTTTTTGAAAGTGGACGGGGTGTATGTGTCATTTTGACATTTCTTGTTGAAGTTTGATTCATGTTTAGTGATCTTGTTTAAATAGATTTAAAAACAAGCCTTTATAAATAAAATATATGTAATTTGATAACATCTACATTGATTTCAGTGACACTGCCTGATAGTAGTACAGCCTCTGCATATGAAGAGTTCAAGTATAGCCCTATACCAGAACCTGGAGAGTGCTACTGTTTACCGCCTGCAGAATGGGTTATACCTTGACGACAAACTTTAATATTACATGCATTGACTTTACTGTGCAAGGAAATTAACAACTTTTCTCAATATTTAATGAAATCTAAAACCATTAATTGAAATGGCGAAAAGGTATAGTAATTGTTAGATGAAAAGTCAACATGTAAATCTTTGTTCATGACATTTGATTGTTTGGTTTGTCTCTGATACAAATGACTTTTATGTGGAGAGACTGGGTAAATGTATAATTCCTAAGCAATAGATATTTCTAGTTAACTGCTGTTCAGTTTATGACTTAACATTTGATGCTTACTGCCAAACAAAATAAACCAAGTAATTAAGATTTTATTATGATGTGATTATATACATTATATTAGATAACCTTTGCTTGTGTGATGAAACTTGGAATAAATTTACTTACTCTCTTGAATGACGTCTAGAGATACAACTGATTTCTTTTATTTAAAAGGCACCAAAAGTACCAATCTAGGCAGTTATGATGCAGAATAACATTTCATGCCTCTAACTATATATTCAATGGCCAAGAGGGCAGGCAGTATAGTGTGTAACACCTATCATCCATGCATGTGTCTGAAAGCCTTGTCATGCAATAACTCTAGTCATGGGTTTTTGAAAACATGGCACAAATGCGTAAACCATGATGAGACATTGCCATTTTGTTATGCGTGAAGCCTAGACCATAGCTCCAAGGTCAGAACTCATTTAGAGGGTTTAAAGGTCAGCAGTTAGAAAATCATTGTCTGGCCAAAACTCCATCATGCATCATGGGAAAAAAAAATTGGCACAAATGTTAAGCATGATGAGATGATGTCATGTGCAAGACATATTCCCCTAGCTCCAAGGTCAAGTTCACACATAAGACCAGCACGAAAATCTTAGTGTGTCCATAAAGTATGTCATGCCATTTAAGGGTATTTTGAACAATATGGCACAAATGTTCAAGGAATAAAATGGACGATGTGTTCCTATGCACAAGACCAAAACCTCAAGTCTCCAAGGTCAAGGTCACATTAAGAGGTTTTAAAAGTCCAGCAGTTAAGAAAATATTGGCTGGCCTATAACTCTGTCATGCATCAAGGGATTTTTGAAGTTCAGTTTCCCCAATGTATCATAAGCATAATGAGATGGTTTACGCCATTGCACCAGGACCTAGGTCCCTCTCTCTAAGGTCCAAGGTCACGCATTGGAGGTCAAAGATAAAATTCTTTGATGTTATTCGGGAGCTCCCAGTTCTAAAATTTTAAACAGGACAGGGATTTGTGTATATTTTTAAGAGTTCAAATTTAACTATTTTACTGACCTTGTTTTTTATGTTCAATGTAGGATCAAAAGTTCTACATAGACAAAATAATACAGTGAGAAATGTGAAGTTTGCGATTAGGAGATCCAGAACAGGAATACAGATTGTATATATTGGTGCGAGCCAGACTAATAGAGTCGGGGGCATTACACAGTCAAATCACAGATTATCCAGGTAGCAATCTCTTGTTTATTAAGTGCAAATGAAGAAATAAATTCCATTCAAAACACTGACTTTCAGGACAATTTTGAATGGTTTTGTAATAAAGATATTTAGGCACTTAACTGAGGTATAAAAAAAAACCTGGGTATATTCACTTTTGAATAGATTCATCACATTGATTTATATCTTTTCCATGTAACAGGTTGTGTTCTTTAGGAAAACTATTCATGAATTATTTTGTAGAGTTGGGAACTAAAGTTCTTAATTTAAAATTTGTATAGAGCAAGCTATTATTGAGACCTTGCTTGGGATTACTTTTGGCATCTAGGGGTCATTGCCAACTATAACTAAAAATAGAAAAATGCGTTTTCAAGTTTGAAAAATCTGGTTTCATAGCCATTGCCATGCATTCTTGACTTTTTATCAGGTCCCGTTTGAAAATTTTAATGAAACTTAATAGAAATGCTTACCACTATGAGAAGCTGTGTCCTCGTGCGCATGCACCAGGTCTCCAGATATCAAAAAGTCAAGGTCTCACTTAGAGGTCATTGGAAATCGCTTGTCAGAAACAAAACTTACTACATGCATAGAGAGATTTCAATATACTATGGCACAAATGTTCACTATTGTCAGACAGTGTCATGTACAAAATTTTCAGGTCCCCGCTGCCAAGGTCAAGGTCACACAAAGGTATCGGAGTTCAGATGAAGATTATGAAAATGTGATGTATTTGGACCATTTAGTTTATTTATAGAGGGATTTGAAACACAAATGGTGTCATTGACATGACTACAGGTGTAAACATTGTAATTTTGGTTAATATTTGCAAGTGTCAAGGTCACTAAAGATGATAAAATATAGATATTTTGTCAAGAGTATATCTGCCCTACATGCATGATGGGATTCTAATGAAACTTATAAGTAATGTTCACCACTATGAGAAGCATTGTCACATGTATGAACCCAGGTCTTTTAGGATTAAAGGTTAGGTCACACTTATTAAGTGAATGAACAAATGCCTGTTTGGAGAAAAACATCTAACATTCATCTGGGGATTTGAATGTATCTTGGCACAAATGTTCAACATTTTGAGACCAAGTATTGTGCACTTATTTAGTTCCTTGCTACCAAAGTCAAGGTCACATAAAAAAGTCAAAGTTAATATAAAACAAAAGATGTGTACAGGGACCCTTTTTTTCATCATTTATTATGCTCCACGAAAAATTTCGAGGGGAGCATATAGTTGTCGGGTTGTCTGTCGGTCCGTCAGTTAGTCCGAGCGCACGAGAGGGTAGTTGTTATGTACTAAATGGTACTAAATACCCAACAACTACCAATCCTACTCACTCCGTATGTATTGTTGGGTATTTTCATTGATTGTTGGGTACATGCAGCAAAATCATGTCCTACCCATAACATCTTTATTTGAAGTTGGATTTTACAACAGTTGAACTATTTCACAGAAATGGTCACCATATTGAGACGATGTGTCGCGTGCAACATTTGGGTCGCTACCTTGAAGGTCAAGGTCACAGCTTGACCTTGAAGCAAAATCGTGTCAGGCCCATAACTTCCTTATTTGAAGTCGGATTTTACAACTACTTCACAGAAATAATCACATTATTGAGACAACGTGTCAAGCACAACATTTGGGTTGCTACCTTGCAGCAAAATTGTGTCCGGCCTATAACTAACTTCCTTATTTGATGTCAGATTTTACAACTATTTCACAGAAATGATCACCATATTGAGATGACGTGTCACGGGCAGCATTTGGGTCGCTACCTTGAAGGTCAAGGTCACAGCATGACCTTGCAGCAAAACCGTGTCCGGCCAATAATTTCGTTATTAGAAGTTTGGAATTTACAACTATTTCACAGAAATTGATCACCATATTGAGACCAAGTGTCGCACGCAACATTTGGGTTGTTTTTACACTTTGGAATTTTGTCTATGACATAACTCTGACACTTACATAAGAGGGTATACCTTCCTGTGTCCAAAAACCTATTCGGGGAGCAACACCAGGGTTAAACCCGCTCTTGTTGATGGAATATAACACAAATGATAACTATCATGACGAAGTGTGACACATGTTATTTAGGTTAATATATTAAGGTGAAGGTCACTAGAGACGATAAAATATCCAGATATTGTCAGGATATTACCTATCTCCTAAATGCATATCTATAATGCCCTGTGACATCTCTGTCAAAAGCTTTTGTGACGAGCGTATTTTGTGACAATGTTGCCATTGTTTAATGTTTAGTCTGGCAGGTCTAGGAACACTAAATTATTCTCTACATTTCACAACATCTGCAACATATGGGTGAGATACAGTTTTTTTTTACCCACTATGACCTTGAAATGTTTTTATAAATATATATTCCAATTTTTTGAAAAAAAAATGTTTTGAAGTCAGAGAAATGGATGAATAATGACTAACAGTATGCTTAGTGTTATGAGGTGTTTAAAAATAGTAGACCAATGACATTAGTGTGTGTGTATAACAGATGTTTACAATACTTTAAGGTTGAACCAGCAGACAGAGACCCAAATGGTAATCTTTTAGAGACTGCTAAATCCGTACTGGTTTCATCAGGTGATTCTCAGTCTTCTGTCATAGATGACATGATAGCAGCAGGAAATCAGGAAGGTCTCTATAATTTCTATTCTGGTGTGCTGTACAATCAAATAAACAAACAAACTAGTGACCCTGTAAAAACAAATTTATCATTTACATGATATTTTTTCGAAATAACTAAATTGCATTAAACTACATGTATATTTAAATGAACTTCAATGTTTGCTCCTCTTTTCAAAGAAAAAGCACAGTTTTTGTCATGACTCACTCCACAGAAATGGCGTTTGTTGACCTTTTCGGTAAAGTTTGTTTATTATACCCTGAAATGAAGTTTAGGGGGTATTTAGGAGTGACCCAGTGGTGGTGGGTTGATCAGTGGGTCCAGCAGTCTATTGCATTTTCCTTGTCCAGAGCTTAACTTGAAGACTAATGGTTGGAATTCATTACGGCTTCATACAATGGTCAAGCACATTGAGGGGAAGTGCAGTGCACAAGAACCATAAATTCATATTGACTAATTACGGAGTTATTGCCCTTTGTTACTTTTCCTTCTTTGGAGCATACTGAAAACCACTGGTTTGAATTATATACAAGTTCATACAACCGTCAAGCACAATAAGAGGAAGTGAATGCACAAGAACCATACCTCTATCAAAAGTTATTACAGAGTTATTGCCATTTACTTTTCCATTGCTTTTTTTTCTTGTCTGGAGTATAACTTAAAAACCACTAGTTTTAATTCAATATAACTTTATACAATGGTCAAGCACATTGAGAGAAAGTGTAGTGCACAAGAACCATCACTCCGTTTTTGACTAATTACAGAGTTATTGCCCTTTTTGATACTTTTCTTTGTCCAGAGCATTCCTTGAAAAGTACTGTTTGAAACTTTAAAAAACAACTTCTTACAATGGTCAAGCACAATAAGAGGAAGTGCAGTGCACAAAAACCATAAACTCTGTCTAAAGTAATTATAGAGTTATTGCCCTTTTGTTTACTTTTCCATTGCATTTTCCTTGTCTGGAGCATAACTTGAAAACCCACAAGTTGAAATTCTATATAACTTTATGCGCAATGGTCATGCACATTGAGAGAAAGTGCAGTGCACAAGAACAATTAACTTCATCTATGACTTATCACAGAGTTATTGCCCTTCATTACTTTTTTGTCCAGTGCTTGACTTAAAACTAATGGTTTGGAATTCAATGCAACTTCACATTATGTGTATAATCATAGATAGCTTAAATCCAGAGCACATGAGTGCAAGTGCCATTTTTTATTTATTAAGTTCTAAATAAATTTCTTATATGAATAAATGTTTGCTATCTGTTTAAATTTGTTTGTTTCTGTAATAATTTTTGATGAAAAGCAAAAAAAATGGTTGTTTTGTTTTTCATTTTCAGAGGCTGTTCAAAACTTGAATGTCATCGCTTCAGCTCTAAACCCAGTAAATGGCACTGAAGTGAATGACACTGTAAAGGCAGAGAAAACTGCGGTACATATTAAGGGACTATCCATTATTGTTTTAATTGAAACAAATGAGTTTTGTCAGTGTGGCATAAACCCTATGTTACAGACAATCATATATTAGGTGCTAGATAATTTTATCTGTTGTCAAGGCCTTTTTAACAGATTGTGGAATATGCTCTGGGAAAAATGCTCTTTTTTAAATTTATTGGAAAATGCTCTACCTTTAAATTTTGCTTAAAAAATCCACTATTTTTGCTGAAAGGGATGAAAAAAAGAACATCTCCGAATAAAGATCACCCTGTAAATAAAGGCCACTTTATGACAATCCTTCATTGATTAAGATGATCAAAATGACCTCCAAATAAATTCCACTTGTCTTTAAAGGCCATGTCTCCCTTGTGTGACCTTTGTTCACAGGTTTGACTGTAAATGATCAAAATATGAAAATTCTTATTAGCAATACATGTATAAGGTTATCACAGCCTTCTAGTTGTCCTTTTTTCGATTTCAGATAAGAACATCAGTTGTGACAAGTTTAAAAAAAGTAAATGTTAGCAGTATTGATACATTGTCATCTGTTGCTGAAACTTTGACACAGGTTACAAAAGTGAAATCTGAACTCACTGAAAGTACACAGGTTAGTTACCACGATGATTGCTGTTGTTGTTGTAGGTCAAACTTTTATTTTTAGCTTGTCTGTTTTGAAGAAAAAGTGAAGCTATTTTGATTGCTGTGTTGCCGTCAGTGTTGTTTTAATGCAAAAAAACTTTATTGTATTCAAACATTTTAAAAGTATATATCAACATGAAGCTTGGAATTCTTGCTTATCTTGTCAAGGTGCAGTTGTTAGATAAGGGGTATTATTGTAAAAGCTATATATTTGAGTTATGCCCCTTTTGCCCCTTTTTAACTTAGATTTTTTGTCAAAAGTGGTAAGTTTAACAGACGAGTGTTTATTCTCATGTTTTCAAGGTTAATTGTGGAAATTGTTCTACATTTTAATGTGATCACTTTCTATTAAAAATTTGTTTATTATGTCTTTTGCCAAAGATGTAAGAAAAATCATGTTTTTTATATGTATGTTACTAGTTAAGGCAAAGCAGTGACGTATACCATTATGAATTGATTTTAGTATAACTTAACTGAGGTTCAAACATATGAATCAGAGGTATATACACTACATATATGTTTTGAAAGTATGCAATTATCAAGAAATTAGATAAATTTATCAGTGTTTTTAATCAAATAAATTAAAAATGTAAATTGCATCAATGAAAATGCATTTTAATGAAGTCTTGTAAATTTGTCCTAGTTATATTACAAATGTAACAAACAATATCATTATTTTCTGTAGGAAGATGCTGCCAAGCTGTTTGATGATTTAGCTGATAGTTTGGATACTTTAACTAATGTGACAAATTCAGCAGATATTGTAGACTCGGCCGAGTATGTATTATTTGTGTTATCACTATATATTGTTGTAGAATTTCTTTACTTTAATATTTCAAGATTCAGATAACATGTTGTTCAATTCAAATTCATTAGGTTCATAATAAAACAGAATTTGATATCAATTATTACCATCATACCAAATGAGAAAGCTGTTGAAAATAGAGGATATTAACCTTTTCCCTTATATAAGCGTGTTTCGACGGCTTTTTGCCCCCTCCCCCTTTTGAGGCCTCAAACAGTGAAAAAATGTCCTATTTAGACCCCAAACACTGTTTTTCGTTTTAGAAATGTCGCCAAGAAAATTTTGGACTTGTGAGAGGCTTAAAATGACCCCAGGTTGATCATAAGGTAACGTGTAACCAACGCTGAAAAGCTTTTGACTCTATCTCAATCCCTTGAGAAGTTGCAGCACTTTGAAATAAATTTTGATGGAAAAAATCGAGGCAAAAAAGTGATTTTTGGCAATTTTGAGATGTCCCCTCGTTGCCATGGTAACAGGAAATTTAAGACTGAGCATGTCGTTACAAAGGCAATGGTCCAGTCAACATTTGTGCCAAGTTTGATTAGTATTGAAGCATTTTTCATAGTTTCATAGCAGTTTGAACTTGTAAGAGGAGGCTTTTCAGTGAAAATGGCCATTTTTCACAATATGCTCATGGGGGAAAGGGTTAAATGAGTGTAGATTTAATTCTAAATCTATTGAACTCGTTGAATAAAACAATATTATACGAGTTTCTTTTCCGTGCATGCAACAAGTTCAATAAATTTAGCATTGAATCTACACAAATAAAATATTCTATTGACATGCCTATAGTGTAATGCTAACATTAGCATGCTTTAATGCTATGTTTGTATATAACGTAAATGGTGTCACATCAAAATGTTATTTCATTATTACACTGGTGTAATATTGTGTTTATTAAATGGCTTTATTACACTCTTGCCTCTTGGTTTATGTGATAAAGTTATGTCACAGGGTGAGAAAAATGTGCAGCCTGACCGGGACTCGAACCCGGGACCCTCGGAATACCGTACCGCGGCTCTACCGACTGAGCTATCCGGCCGCTTACACATCTTCTCCCCTATATAGTGAACAGTTCTGAACCGTGACATACTCCCCTGCTATATTGAAATTCGTCCTCGAATTTCACAGAGTTACAGAGCAATGTAAATTAAACTCTGAGCTATATTAGCCACAGCCCCACGTTGGGCGCCAATTGTCGCAGCTCAAACGAAACAAAGGGCTCGTTGACTCTGCTGTGAGTTCTGGACCTGGGGTAGAGGGGTCTGTAAAAAGACAAGTATGCGCTACTCAAAATATTTATTCTTCCCTACAACAAAACCGTGGCCTGCGCCAACAATTTCTCAATTCAAGTGCAAAATATGAAAATCACAATAATCGATGAATGGCAAAATATATATGAATAATAATAGCATCATCTGCAAAAGTCTATTTACCTGTAAAAAGACAAGTATGCGCTACTCAAAATATTTATTCTTCCCTACAACAAAACCGTGGCCTGCGCCAACAATTTCTCAATTCAAGTGCGCATGCGTTGTGCAGATTAGCGGGGAAATTGAAATATTAGCGAGAAAAGTTAATCGAAGATATTAAAAAGGTTATAAAGTACTATTATGTATAGGTAACGGCTATTGGATATGAGATATGAGCTATGAGTATATGAATTAAAGAAATAACTACGGAAAACAATAAGGGACATGGACATTAACATATAAATATACAGAGACAGGCATGGTCACGAACAGACCAAAAATATACAGCACTTGGCAATACGGACAATGTATACTTGACCCTGTGACATCATCCCCCTCATAGGGAAATGTCGTCCCGACATTTAAATAAAGGTCAACCCATAAACACTTACCTTAGATTAAGTAGAATAGATAAACCGCAAGGTTCTTCTCTATACAGTCCAATAATACTCTATACTCATGTACATATCGTACAAATATATCTATAGACTACTCAATAACTACTGTAGCTAACAATAATCTACACTACAGCTCAAAAATCTGTCAAAGTTTCATGTAAAGTCACAGAGACAGGACACAATATACATGAGCATCAGGCCTATATGCTCATATAAAAATGTCAATATACAATAAAATCATTCAGAACACTTACATAAATGACTATTAAGCACTTATTTCAGTATTCATCTCACAGATCATGAGATGGCACTTAAATCTGTGAGGATTCCAATAAAGCACACACAACATCAGAATCACAATGTAATTTGAGTATATGCAGTAAAGCAAAAATACCATATGTTACAGATATACATACAACACTACATTCTGAAAATTAAAATTAGAAGTAGTGAAACTGGTTTAAATTGTTTCTACAAATTACATGTACAAAACAAAATATTAATGTAAACAATGTCAAAATTCTACATGTATTACAGTTTAGAAAAAATAAACAACAAACTAAATGCTTATTATTTAGATGAAAAAATAAAATGTCACTGTAACCGAACTTATTAAATCTGAAAGTCTATAATTTAAATGTCACAAATCACTGAATAACACCTGTAACTATTCCATTAATGTCACATTGTAGTCTGTTGAAAACGAAAGTAGAACATTCCATCCACGGATATCAATAATTCTCGACGAACACTGTATTATAATGACAAATGTCGATCTAGATCAATCCAAATAATATTTAAATAACAAGTCTAGGCCTAATTTTCACTCCAAAATTTGTAAAATATGTGAAAACCCATTTGTTTACATTCTTCTCGATACATGTATACCGACATTCCTGGGGGAAGCCATCTTACTCCAGTGACGTCATACAGAACGTTTCGCACCCAAACTACATCGAAATTGATTCACTCTTCGAACCAGGCCCCACGTTGGGCGCCAATTGTCGCAGCTCAAACGAAACAAAGGGGTCGTTAACTCTGCTGTGAGTTCTGGACCTGGTGTAGAGGGGTCTGTAAAAAGACAAGTATGCGCTACTCAAAATATTTATTCTTCCCTACAACAAAACCGTGGCCTGCGCCAACAATTTCTCAATTCAAGTGCAAAATATGAAAATCACAATAATCGATGAATGGCAAAATATATATGAATAATAATAGCATCATCTGCAAAAGTCTATTTACCTGTAAAAAGACAAGTATGCGCTACTCAAAATATTTATTCTTCCCTACAACAAAACCGTGGCCTGCGCCAACAATTTCTCAATTCAAGTGCGCATGCGTTGTGCAGATTAGCGGGGAAATTGAAATATTAGCGAGAAAAGTTAATCGAAGATATTGAAAAGGTTATAAAGTACTATTATGTATAGGTAACGGCTATTGGATATGAGATATGAGCTATGAGTATATGAATTAAAGAAATAACTACGGAAAACAATAAGGGACATGGACATTAACATATAAATATACAGAGACAGGCATGGTCACGAACAGACCAAAAATATACAGCACTTGGCAAGACGGACAATGTATACTTGACCCTGTGACAGTTATAACATAAGAAGCAAGAAATTTATGCTATTTAAAAGTCAAACATACAATGATTGCTATTTTAATTGGTTTAAATACTTGTCTAAGGGTGTATTAGGAAACAAAATGAGGATCCAAACAGTCATGATATTAGGACCAATTTACTTCTCTAGCTGTGTCTTTTAAGTAATTTCTTGTCAAAGAGTAAGGTTTGAAGCAATAAATAAATTTACATCTTTGTAGGGACTGATATTAAATTAAGGACACTGATTAAATCAGAAATCTAGGTTATAACATAAATAAAATTATTATAATTAGTATTTATTATTATTATTTAATATATATATAAACATAAAAATTCATTATCAACAGAAATGTAGATCAGAAGAAGAAAAAATATCATTGTTAATACCAAGTTTTTAAATATTCAGAGAGATATTTATTGGTGTGACACAACTTCTTGATATCAAAGCAGATCAGGGTCATACACAGTTGATGAAAGATCAATCACAAAATAATGCTAAATTGGGAAAGGTATGTTTAAAAAGTCAGCATTTCCTAGAATGTTTCTGGAAGCTGTAGATTCATTTGATTCTGATTATATACAATCTTGTAAGTGTTTTTATATATGTTTTATAGGGTATACTGGAATCAGCTTGTCCGTCCGGACAAACCAGAGTTCCGGACGTCCGTCTCCCCGTCCGTCGTTTTTCCTTGTCCACCCAATAACTAAAGATTCCTTTGACCCACAGTCTTCATATTTGGCATGACTTGTAGATGATCCCTATTGATTTTAAGGTTGCTTGGTCAAAGGTCAAGGTCACAGGGGCCTTGACTAAAAAAAGCTTGTCTGCCCAATAACTTAAGATTTCTTTGACCCATAGTCTTCATATTTAGCAAGGAGGTTAGTCATGACTAGTAGATGACCCCTATTGATTTTGAGGTTATTGGGTCAAAGGTCAAGGTCACAGGGGCCTTGACTAAAAAAAGCTTGTCCTCCCAATAACTTAAGATTCCTTTGACCCACAGTCTTCATATTTGGCATGGAGGTTAGTCATGACTAGTAGATGACCCCTATTGATTTTGAGGTCATTGGGTCAAAGGTCAAGGTCACAGGGGCCTTGACTAAAAAAAGCTTGTCCGCCCAATAACTTAAGATTCCTTTGACCCATAGTCTTCAAATTTGGCATGCAGGTTAGTCATGACTAGTAGATGACCCCTATTGATTTTGAGGTTGCTGGGTCAAAGGTCAAGGTCACAGGGGCCTTGACTTAAAAAAGCTTGTCCGCCCAATAACTTATTATTCCTTTGACCCACAGTCTTCATATTTGGCATGCAGGTTAGTCATGACTAGTAGATGACCCCTATTGATTTTGAGGTTGCTGGGTCAAAGGTCAAGGTCACAGGGGCCTTGACTAAAAAAGCTTGTCCGCCCAATAACTTAAGATTCCTTTGACCCACAGTCTTCATATTTGGCATGGAGGTTAGTCATGATTAGTAGATGACCCCTTTTGATTTTGAGGTCACTGGGTCAAAGGTCAAGGTCACAGGGACTTTGACTTCAAAAGTTTGTCCGCCCTAATAACTTAAGAAACCTTTGACCCACAGTCTTCATATTTGATATTGAGGTTGTTTATGAGTAGTAGATGGCCCCTATTGATTTTTAGTTGACTGTGTCAAAGGTCAAGGTCACAGGGATTTTTACTATAATAAGTTTGTCTGCTCAAATGCTTAAGAATGCCTGTCTGCAGTGTATTGATTTTGACATTTTCACATTTGAAGCATGTAGAATACATAACTTAGCAATGCACTAACCTCAGATTTGGCAGGGAGGTTGTCCTTGAGCTCTAAATGGCCACTGTTGATTCTGACAAAGTGGTATGCGGGGGTATTCTAACCATGACAGTGGCAGTTCTAGTTATAAATTGACATAGTTAACTATGTTCCATAACTCTTTTCCCTTAAACTGAGAGTTGTGTCCCTTTTTACTTATAAAGATTTTTCTTCTCCTTCTTCTCCTTCTTTTAGAAAATACAGCAAATTGTTCATTCCTTTGATTGTTTTTCTTCCACTTGCTTTTGAACTTGTACAGAACCTTTGAAGCTTTAGTCAAGATCACATATCAAGGTGCATCTTTGTTTTGAACCAATTGAGTTATTTTCAGTAAATCTTGTGAATACTATTTTATTTAAAAAAATAAAATTGTTTTGCTTCTTATACCCCAGCACAGATTCGTAAGTGGTGTATACAGGTTAGAGTCTGTTGTAATATATAATCCTGTGTGTGAATTTATCCGCTAAAGCTGCAGAACAAATTCTAATTAATCTTGACAGAAGTAATCTACAGAAGGTCTAGTTCCCTGTTTAGTAACTAATTATACCCCTACCACAAAATGTGGTGGGGGGGGGGCTATAATGGATTGCTTTGTTGCGTCCATCAGTCGGTCGATCGGTCCGTCGGTCTCCATTTTCGTGTCCGCTCTATAATTCCTATACCAATTGAAGGATTTTCTTCAAACTTGACTCAAATGTTCACCTCAACAAGGGGATGTGCAGAACCCATGTTGCCCATGTGTCAGCTTAAGGTCAAGGTCACAATTGAAGGTCAAATATCAAACAATCAAATATTAGACAGTATGTTGTGTCCGCTTTGTAAGTCCTACACTAATTGAAAGATTTTCTTCAAACTTGGCTCAAATGTTCACCTCAACAAGGGGATGTGCAGAACCTATGTTGCCCATGTGTCAGCTCAAGGTCAAGGTCACAATTGAAGGTCAAATATCAAACATTCAAATATTAGACAGTATGGCGTGTCCGCTCTGTAAGTCCTACACTTATTGAAAGATTTTCATCAATCTTGGCTCAAATGTTCACCTCAACAAGGTTATGGCAGAACCCATGTCACCCTTTTGCCGGCTTAAGGTCAAGGTCACACTTGAAGGTCAAAAATTGACTTAGAAAATATTCTTAAATTTTAATATGTATTTGAATATTTCTGAAACTAGTAAAGGTATTTGCTTGAAACTTAGAATATATATGAAGTGTCACAATTAAGATATGCTGGTCAAGTTTCATAACTGTGTATTGCATTTTAACAAAGTTATGTTCCTTTTTAAGTCTTCAAATTTACATACAATCAAATATTAGACAATATGTCATGTCCGCTCTATAAATCTATAAAGAATTTTCTTCAAACTTTACTCAAATGTTCACCTTAACAAGGTTATGTGCAGAATCTATGTTACCTTTGTGTCGGCTAAAGGTCAAGGTCACACTTGAAGGTCAAAAATTGACTTAGAAAATGTTCTTAAATTTAAACATGTACTTGAATATTTCTGAAACTAGCACAGGTATTTGCTTGAAACTTAAAAGATATATGAGGTGTCACAAATAAGATGTGCAGGTCAAGTTTCATAACTCTGTATTGCATCAATACTAGACAATATGTTGTGTCTGCTCTATAAGTTCTATACTAATGGAAGGATTTCCTTCAAACTTTACTCAAATGTTCACCCCAACTAGGCAATGTGCAGAACCCATCTTACCCTTATGCCAGCGTAAGGTCAAGGCCACACTTGAATGTCAAAAATTGACTAGAAAATGTTTAGTATATTGGGAAAATGAAAGGTTATTTGTAACTGTTTTGAACATGATTTGACAATATATATATTTATACTATTACCTGTACAATTAGTCTTTTTTTCACCAGAGATAATTTCTTTTTATGTATATGTATTTGTGCCACTAAAGTTTCTCCCTTAACCTGACCTTTCCAAGTCGTCTTCTGTCAAGGACATTGGTGGGGGTATGAATCACATTCAGCGATAGTTCTAGTTATTTCATGTGGAGGCATGGCCGAGTGTTTAACATGTCAGACTAGTAATCTAAAGATCCTTAGACATGTGGGTTCAAATCCCATCAAGGACTACCGTTGTTAACTTGAGAAGAAAACTTTACACTCTTTGCTTAGTACTATTTTGTTCTAGGAACGGATTTGAGAGTGTGTCTACAGGATTCTAGTTTCTTACACATAGAAACTAAAAGAGATTCTTCATAAACTAAATTGGGAATTAGAGAAGGTCAGCCATTTTGTTGAGGAATTTAGATTTTTCTTAATAAAAGCAAAAAGACATGAAATACTGTATGTGTAGAAATATTCGCGGGCTTCAAATTTTCGCGATCTTCGCGGTAACTTTCGATCCGCGAATTTATGTTTAGCGCGAATATTTCTACACCAATAATTTCTTAATAATCATATTTTCGCGCTTCTATAGAACTATGTATATCAGTGTGTGATATGCTTTCACACTTTTCATTTAAATGTTTACTGAGTAATTGTGTTTTGTTTTCCAAGTTATTCATCATTTAAAATCTTTTATGTTTGTGTTTTTTTGTATAGTGTGTGCAGAAAAACCAAAACATGATCTGATCAGATGTCAAGACGTTTATGACGCAAACTGTGAAAAATTATGCACGTTAACGAGCATTCTTTTGTTTGCTATAATCTGTCCGCTAGACAATGTCTTTTTTTCTGTACAATAGCGTATTGTTTGACACCTTGTATTAAAAATAACTGTGAACTCCCACGATGGTTACAGTAATTTTCCTTATTTTTTAACCTGAGTGGTCTACGCGAATTCATGATTTTCGGCAGTCACCTCCGCGAATTCAAAATAGCGCGAATATTTGTATAGACCCCCAAAGTGGACCTTTCCGCGAAAATTTGCTTCCGCGAATTTAAATACACATACAGTACTTCTTTCTCTAGTATGATGATTAGATTTTGCCATATGATTGAGTTTCAGTTTTGCCATAATGCAAAGATAGAAATGGGAAACAGAAAAGCAAATATTAGCCTTTAGTAAGGTAATTGCTCTGTTTCAGATGAAAAAATCAGCTGGTAGACTTCTTAATACAATAGATAAGATTAGCAACACAATATTGTCAGGGCAGACGGTTGGAGACCCAGCTGTAGTAATTCAGACAGAGAGTGTCAATATTCAGATGGAAAAAATTGAACAGTCAGCATTAGGTGGTAGACATCTTACTATGGGCACTGGTGGTGACACAGAGGTAGCTACAGTAGAATTTCCAGCAGTTGTTGATGGTGTTGATAAAAATATGCCTGATCTAGGCTTACAGGTAAATATCATGAATAATTTTTTTATTTTTTTTTTTAAATCTGCAAATTATGCTTTTATGTGAAGACATAGTTATTTCCCTTTATTTATCAGAATTTTGCATGATTAATTTCTCATATGCAATAGGTGGTGTTTTTCTTCATCACTGATCAGTTGTTATAAGCAAAGGCAGTCTTCAAGCTAGTATTGCCTGCTTTTGGTTTAACAAATTAATTAATTTACATTCTTACACAGGATTCACTATTATACTAACGCAAAAACTGAGATATATATGTAGCTGATTAGAAATGAAAATGTGATAATATATATTGCAATTAATGGATTGCTGACTTGATTTTGATACTAGTATTAAGTGTTACAATTTAAAATGTTATGACGTGTTTTGTTTTCTTTGTAAAGGTTTTACATATGAAGAAGAATCCTTATATATGGGACAGGTCAGCTGTAGATGTCAATATGGAGGTACTATCTGTAGAACTCACTTCAAAAAATTCTGAAGTGAAAGTGACCAATCTGAGTGAACCTATTAAAGTGTCTCTGACTGCACCAGGTACTTATTACATGTATTAACTAACATTGTTTCAAGTTGTTCAGATAAACCTTACAAATCTAAATGCATCTTACGATAAAAACTGGAGTCTCACGCTTAATTCTTACAAGTAAAACAAGTATGCTTGTGACTTATGTAATTTTGTCAGTATTATGTTTAAGTCTTTGTCATTCTGACTTAAAGGTCCCATTGAATGGTAATTTACCACAGCGATATTTCCATTTATATTCGTAAGAAAAAACCACTAAACCTTTTTCAGCGGAAATTACCGACTGCTGTCGTGTTTATTGGAGCATAAATCACCGCTAATCATTGGCCAGTATTTCACGTGTTTTACGATTCAACGCACCTCGGCGATTTACGGAAAAAGTTGGAAGATACTCGGTGTGACGTCACACCCAGTACTCGTTCGAGAATCGCCATATTGGAAACATTGAAAAAAAAATATCGTACAGTAATTTTTAGATTTATTCAGCGTAATTGGTTGGATTTAAGCAATGGGAGGCGCGAGATGTGTTGTTGGAGGATGCAGCAATAAGAGAAGTGAGCGGGTTAGCTTACATCAATTCCCTAAGGACACGAACATTCGACAACAGTGGGTAAGGGCAATCAAGTGTACAGGTACGAATGTCTCTAGAGCTGACTGGAATGGACCTAGTTCTTCAAAAATCATCACAAGCACAATTGGTATGCTCTGAACATTTTGAATTCACGTGCTTTACCCTCACCACTAGGATGCATTGGCAGCAGGGATTACCATACAAGGCTGCCCTTACTGATGAAGCGGTGCCTACCCTGTTCGGTCTACAGATACAGGAGTATAAGAAAAGGGTAGAGAATCCAAGTTCTAGAGGAGCCTTCAGAAAACGTGAATTGGAAAGAGTAAGTGTATTTCTATGCATATTTATTTGATGTCAAATTTTTGAAAAATACATCTTAAAATAGATAAATTTTGTGGCTAATATATCGATATATACTGTACTGATACTGTATACAGGTCAAGCACGTCTCAACAAATGTTTGTTAAGAAAGAAAATAGTTGGATATTTTTTAAAACATCAAACTTCAAAGTAAATTTTATGTGCAGGTCTGCAAAATATCTAGAATTCTACAAAGTCCTACATGGAACATTTGGGTGAAATTTGCACTGTAATTTGTAAAATGCTTAGGCTATCTCAAGGATATATCACCAGATTGATTTCAAGACAGCTTGGTGTGATCAACTTAGAACAACTTAGCCTGTATTCAGCTCATGTTACATTCATTTTGTAAATTACGCAAACAAAAGATGTTTCATCATAGAAAATTATGCAAAATCTGCTAAAGAAATGCATCTAGACCTTTTGTTCATTTTTTTTTTAGATTATTGGAGAATATGAAGTCACACCAACTGGAAATGCTGAGCAACCCCTACCAGTCACTGGGCCAGCACTACTTCAGCCCTCCACTGGACAAGTGAAAGAAGCACTTACGGTAAATATCAAGAAAAGTGAACATTTGTTTCCACATACACTAGCTAAATCTGTACCCTCATTTTGTGTTTAGTAATGGAAGTATTTGAATTTGGTTTTGATGAAAGACCCCAAGTATTATAGGCTTCAGCCTGCCGCTGTTATTTAACACACATGAATATTGTATGTTAACATTACTAAATGTTCTGAAACATAATAGTGTTCTGCTTAGTACAATTTTAAGTACACTCTTGTCTATTTAGCAATGATTTTGTGCATGCACTATTCATTTTTAATGCAGTTAAAGAACATAGATCTTCCACTCAAGAATTTTGGAAGTTTTTTTTTACTCAAACAATAATATTTGCAGCAGATGTATAGCCTTACACACTTCTAGGAATAATTAATTATGAAAAATTATTCAAAACATATACAAAAGCAGGTGGCCATGTCAAACACTAAGCTACTGTTACACAATGAACCCATTTCATAGCAGTGATAGCAAAAAATCAGTTAGGAAAAAATCATGCAAGGGACATTTGAGCCGTGGCACGACATGCATGTCGCAAACACATTATGTTGGTTTTGTCATGACCCGGCTCATTTATAACAGCTATGTAAAGGAATTATATACTAGAGATAAGGAGTATATATATATCAATATTTCAGTGTATCACTGTATTCACAGAAACAAAATTTCAGTGTATCCGAGATAGTTGTCATCTGGTATCAATGTATAAATCAAATATGCTTTTCACTGAATCAATGACAGCTGTAGAGAATTCATAATTTACTTTTTGGTTTAATAACATTGATTGTCTAATATACATGAATTATGATAATTTTGTTTTTAGATACATAGTGATGCCGAATTACCTGAGGTTAGTGAAAATGGGCCATGTGTCAGTGAGAACAATCAGGAGTCTGAGGACAGTTTATCAGTACAGACAGAGGTAAGGATTGTTTCCTTCATAAAAGTGTTAAAGCAGTTTTATCCATAACTGAGAAAAATCTTTACATTTTTTAATCGTTATTGTTCTTTTACAATTTTGCAACTTCTATTTTGTTACTACTTCTTTTGATTTCTATAACTCACTATAGGAAACATGGCGGTGAAGTTATAGTCTCAGAAAATCTCACAAAATGTGAACATGCTGATCAATAAATCTCTGATACAGATTTAAAGTGTATTACATCATAGTTTCCTGTCCATATTACTATAGCTCTGTGATTTAGCTAAGTCTTCAAAGAAAGAGCTTGCCTTATGTCAGATCAACATACATACATTTCTACATAGGAAATTTGCTCACTGATACAAGAAAATAACCCCGAGTTTCAGTGATCTTTCTATTATGTCGGCATCCATTAGTAGTTGTACTTTTTAAAAAAATACTGACCAACAGTAATGTGTAATTACATTGTTGAAATTCAGTCATTTGTTTCATGCTTTCCAGTGTTTTACTGTAATATATCAGATGATTATACTCTGAAAAACCACTAGTGAAATTTTTAAAATATAAATTTCACTGTGGCCGGAAAATATGTGAATGCTGGTGAAAAGAATATCATAACTAAATAGGATACGGTAATAGGCAAAGCTAAATGCTGTCATACGTAATTTTTGCTTCTTTAGGAACACACAGTTTATATCATCATACATCATGTTCAAAATGTAACCAAAGTAGAGAAATTTAACAGACCTATATTTCAAAATTGATGATTGTGATGATGTCACATAAGAGAATGCATACGTTCAAGTGGCAATATATGTAAAAATACTTTAAATCACTTAAAAAGTATGAAATAAAAAGATAATTTATTTGTTATACATATAAGATTAAAATGTATTTCATTTGTGAACACCAACTTTTCTATCTTCACTTGTGGTTACGCCACTCGTGAAGTTATTGTATCTGGTGTTCAATTATTGACATATATTTCAATCTTACATGCAAAACATACAAATATCCCCTATGTATCTTTCTTTTCTTTGTATTCTGATTAAATTAATTATTTCCTTAATGATCTTTTTGACAGAGAGCAAATCTTCCTATAAAGACATCTGAAGAAAACAAGAGTCAGTGCCCACCACAATGTGCCCAGGATGAGGCTTCAGACTTGATCAAGGTATGTTTGTTTCAGTTATCAAAAATGTGGAATTTGTGGTAGACATTCTGATACAATACCAGTTACATGATATTACATAATTTTCATACTTCATAAAGCAAGCATCCTAAAAGAGGCTTAATTATCATGCTTATTGAATTATTGCATTTATTTAAAAATCACACACCAGAAAGGGGCTTTAAGAAACTAACTGTACGTAAATTAGAACAATTTTTTCTCTCAATAAATTTGAATATGTAATATGCTGTACATCATAATAAAAATTCTGTTCTGACATAGACAATGGTTTCAAGTTCCTACTGATTAGGCTGTAACAATTCAAAAAATGTTCTATTTGATATCTGTCACCCTGTTATAATTCATGTCTGATTAAATTTTGCCATTACTTGACAATTCTGCTCATTTGCTCTAAATTCGGTTCTTCAAGACACAAAATCTATGCATAAATCTATGGATTTTTTTTTATCTTTACAGGAGGATGGTAGATGTCTTTGTATAAAGCCAGAAACAACTTCTACTGGGACCCAGGTAAAGCCTGGAACAACAGTTAAGGGAGTTCAAGTCAGTAGAAAAGTTCAAGTCACTAATGCTGTGAAAGGTAGTGTATAATATTTAGTTAATCTGTTACTTGTGAATGTTGAGTTTACCAGTAAGAAACATCTATTAAATTGCCAATCTTGGTTACACGTTTAACTATATGCTTTAGTAAGTTTCCATGTTATATGAGATAAATATGATAATTTATTAATCTGCAACTGTCATTGTTCATCAATATTGGCCCATCATTGGGGTAACTTAGTTTGATTAAACATACTTACTTAAGTTTAATTGCGAAACTTATATTTGTCACTTTCAATTCCGCTTCCTGGAACCAGCCAGTACTGTTGTCATATGAAGGAACATGGCTGTGACCGGATTACGGCTTGAATCTATGATCCACTGGTTAAAAAACTAAAGACTGAAGATTAGGTGGACCCAAAGTCAGACACTAAAGCTGGCTGTTTACTTAGATCAGTTTTGAATCAGGTACTATTGGGTCAGGTATGCAAGTGGCAAAAATCACAATTTAAAGTCTGTTTTCAGTCCAACTGAAACAGGAAACAATGCCTTTGGACCGTCTTATGAATGGCAAATAAAGTTTTGCTGTTATAGTAACCACTGCCGAAAAAGACATGGCTATACGGAAGTTGTACGGAATTCCGTATATCATTAATATACGTGTAAGAATACGGGGAACTTTGAAATACGGAGTTGTACGGGACCGTATATTATATCAGTTCCGTATATGACTAGTATACAAACTCCGTACACTCGTAATATACGGGAACTTTGATGTACGAAGTCCCTATTTTTACTAATATATTGGAATTTTTATAACAAGTCCGTATATTACTAAAATACGAAATTCCGTATTCGTGCAAATACGGATTCTGTATATAAAGAAGTAGCGAATGAAAATTTACTTCTGAATAGCCTATTTCCTGTAAGAGTAAAGAAATAATCTTATCATATATTTATCAGACATTTGACAATTAACACAATGCAAAATTTCCTGGAGTTATAAACGCGTCAATTGCGTACAAATAATATCGTTAGTGCACAGAACGTGTAAGACATCCAGCTGTAACATGAAGACGCGGTATTCTAGCTCAATACCGCTTGGTTTGCTTTTTAGCACACACCCGCAGATAAATAGCAAATACTTTACAATTGCGATTCACGATTAGATAGTACTGTTTTGCATTTTGCATCTATGGTGAATTCATGTTATTTTTGTAATTTCCTTTTCATTATCATTATAATATTTTTAAATGATAAGCAAAACATGAGAAAATTATAATAAAACCGTGGATCTGTGAAGTTTGAAATCGTGAAAGTTAAAATAATTGTGAAATCACGAAGATGAAATCGGGATTGTCCACACAGCAATTAAATTTTACGTTGATATATGTCCTATAAAAATAGGCTAAACATAATATAATACATGTACTTGCATATGTAAAAAAAACAACAATGATATCTCATTCATTCATTCACTAATTCACTCATTCACTCATTCATTCACTAATTCATTCACTCATTCATTCATTCATTCATTCATTGAATCAATCAACCAACCAACCATTCATTCATTTATTTATTTATTCATACATTCATTCAATTATTCATTACTCATTTATTCATATATTTATTTATTTATTTATTTATTTATTTATTTATTTAATCTTTTTTTCAGGAAACAAAGATTTGCATTTCTCTACACTAGTTTTGAATAGGAATCTTATGAAGTTCCGAATTCCCCAATTTTGATTTCTTTTCGCGCGGTCTCATTTATGACATAATATTGTGTAATAGCCACGTGCTGTATTGCCATAATCGAAGACAATACTGATTAAGCCGGATATTGATCCGGATATTGATCATAAACGCAGCAGTGTATATCGAGTGTCGGTTTTCTCCGATTAGGTAAATTAGCGCAATGTGTTGAATGTCTTAACGGTATTTTTACTGTCAATTTCTGATATAATTCATGTACTAAATAAGGGAATTAAATTGTAATCCTATGTGATTTTGTTCTAGATATTATAAAGACTCTAACCGGACATATCAAAATGAAACAGACATAGCTGCTGTATTTTTTTAATGCTTTTGCAGCGTCGTGTTGTTTGTTATCCTTTAATTTGGCGGATTCGTCATTTAAACATGACACAATTAAGATTTATCTTAAAGTAAACTTTGAAGTACCCTGCCGCCAGGTCCAATTATATCGAAGTTCACAAGCTAGAATCAGATGGATGTCACTGGGGTGTATGTACATGTATTGTTGATAGATGATGTCAAATTATTCGAAATAGCATTTCTTGAAAAATATCATCATCATCTCCCCGAGTTTCCTCGTCTCCCATCAGCCGTGTTTCTGCATAATTCGGTGACTTGAACATTGTTAAGGACAGGGGAACATGACTGTGCTATGTAAATTAACATTTGTTACCTGGTTAAAATAAAATTATGTATCTTGGAAACAGTATTTGTAAAAGTAAATTTCTGTTTAAAAAAATAAAAATTGTCGTGGTTTGATTTAAAAAACTCAAGTTAAGAACATACTAAATTATATATTGATAGTAAATCACTTTTTAAATTGGACTTTTGAATTTTTAACAATACTCCAAATATTTTTATACTAATAAAGTTTTATTTTAATTATGAAATCCGCAGATAATGTGAAAGGATCTCTTTATACTTCATTTATGTGTATAAGTAAGTAAGTAATTTATTTATTTTAATGGGGATACGGACAAAAGACCCCCTCCCATCTAAAAATGACAAGGTGGACAAAAGCCCCCCCCCCCCCCCCCAATGAAATTTATACACGTAGGACAAAAAGCCCACCCCCATCAAATAATACAGGTAGGACAAAAGCCCCGCATTATCACCGACCTTAATATAAATCAGTGGCATTATTAATGCTACAAACAGTATCTAGGCATATCACGCGTTTTCAAAACAGCCAATGAGTTTAAAAGCGTTGGTTTTGTATCACGTGAATCCTATCAACCAATCAGAAATGGCGCGGGCGAAATGAAAAAAGAAAAAACGGGCGATTGGAAATGGATAGTAAATAAAATTCAGAATATTGCAAAAAAAAGGGAGGTTAAAAGTTATTTTTTTATCTTTTCAATATCCCAAAATCGGAAAACAATAGAATAGTTGCAATTTTTTGAACAACAAACTTATTTCAGGGGTTAAACTATTTGGTTTTTTAGAAAACTTTTAACCCCTGTTTAAAACTGTTTCGCCATCCAATATGGCCCCCGGGTTTGATAATTAAAAAGGATTTTATCCTTAAAAATTTGACTGGGAAAGGTTTACCGGTTTTTTTTTGATTTCTTTAAACTGTATCTTGTTTAATTAAAAATTTGTAAAGAAAAAAGCAAAAAACCCAAAAAAAATTAAAAGGGGATTTTGTTAATTGCCCTTTTCATACCCCCCTTTAGGGTTTTTAAAAAACACAACCGAGTTAAAAATAACGAAATTTAAACACCGGTTTTTAAGATGTCAAGGTATTACAGCCCCTGGACATGGGTAGACATTGTGTGTGACACGACCTATGTATGCTTGATTGGTCAACTAATTGGACTTTATAATCTTGAGCGATCTCAATTATCACTTAACAGCAGGGGTGCGAATCAAATTATTTATTTTTGGGCAAGAAAGATCATATCGAAAAGAGGACACTCAAATTCTATTTATTTTAATAGTAATTATTGAAATTGATAGCCGAAAAAATAGGTTATGTTTTATCTATTCAATATAATAACAAAGATTATCAGTGATTAACATATTTTGAAAAGAAAATTGGTTAGTACTTCTAAAAAAATAGTTTATAGATTTTTAAGAATGAAATTGTTTCTCATCTGATAATTTAACGAGCAGAATACTTGTTTTGATGTCCGCAGTTTTTCATTTTTCCCATTAAGTTTTTATTACAAATCCCCATTTATTTGATGCAAACATAAGTCAATTTAAAAAACTCCGCTCTTTTCAATGATTTACTTTTTTAAAGTTTCTGTACACATGTTTTGTTATATTTCTTATTTTTGTTAACCTATTCTTAGAATGAATACAAATCTTAAAACAAAAATAGGAAACAAAACATTTCTTTTTTTATTTAAATCATTTATATCGAATAAATAAAATGAAAATAATTGTCAGAATTTTTTTATTTACATTAATACAAAGAATGTGTATTGCATGTAATATGGCCGACAGGTGTTATGTTAAACGGTTAACTGTTTTTCACTTACCCATTGGTGTCAAAATATAATTGAGCCGCGTCACGCCAAAACCAACATAATGGGTTTGCGACCTGCATGGCTCCAGACCAGCCTGCGCATCTGTGCAGTCTGATCAGGAAAACCCGCTGTTCCCTTTAAAAGGTTTCTCTACTTGTTTATAGAGTTTTAAAACGAAAAAGCAAAGGGTTTTTCAGGGCACGCGGAGAATTTGGGGGCTTTGTCTTTTGGGCTATGGGTTTTAAACGCAAACCCCTTAAAGGGTTGGGTTTTTGTCGTGAACCCCCGCTTCAATTTTTTGGTTTTTTTTTTTAAATTATACGGGAAGCTTTTTATCAGGAGCCTTTTTTGTCGGGGGGTAAAGGAAAAATTTTAAAAAAATCCCGTTTAATATAAAAATTCCCCAAAAGAACCAAGAGTTTTTTTAAAAAGGTTTTGTTTTTTAAATTTTTTTAGTTATTAATAGTAATTAGGCCAAAACCGAGTTTACTCGCAAAACCCGGACAGGGAACCTCTTGGTTTTCATTTCGAATTTTTTTGGGTTATTTATCCTACGCTTATTCAGGATTACCCAGATTTTTAAATTGTGATATACATGAACTGAGTTTTCGCATTTACAATGGATTTTTATATTGGAACCAAATAAAGATTTTTTAAATATTGTTTTCTTATTATAAAATTTAAAAACTCTCTTGTATTATTTTTTAAGATAAACATTACGCACAAGGTGATATCGCATGGGTCCAGTCACAAACACGCGCTCTGTTTTGTAGGAAACCAGTTATTTAATATTTCAATACATAAATTTAAACGCTTGAAAACTGTATTTGAGCCTTTTACATTCACACATTTTTTCGACATTCCATATATTGACATATTATTTCACATAAAAGCAATATCTATGGTAACACACGCCACGACCGCACGCACAAACACCACAAAATTACAGTAACCTACACATGCACATTAAAGGGGGGGGAAAAACGTTCCTTTCGTATTAAAACTTTCGCACCATGGATTTACTTTTTGAAATATTTTTAATGTTTCTTCAAATTTTCATTTTAAAAAGGGTTAAATTATATTATGAATTTTTTTAGGAGTTAAATCTTCTAGAAATGCAAGGGTGTTTCCCTCTTTTTACAGCCCAAATTGTGGATTGAAGCCAAAAGTATGGGGAAACAAGTTTATAGAAAATAAGTTCACGTAAAATACAAATTTTTTGTTTTTGTGGAAAAAAAATAAAAACAATTTACACCCGGAAAGTTTCTGTCTGTAAAAAAAGTTTAAATCAGGGCTCATAAAATTCCACTCTGTACTGACATTAAAGTGTTTTATTCTTTCTCAAAGGGAAAATTCC